TATTGAACCCATGTTAATTTTTCAATCTTCAAAAGACTTCCTGCAGAACAGTTCTAAAATGATTTACAATAACATGATTAGCTCAGAATGAGAAGGGTTGTCTTTTATTACGCATAGTTCCAAAGATATTGGTGTTTGAATTTTGGAAAATCCCCGTTGGCTGCCATTATGAACCTATATTAATATGACTCTACTTTAAGTGTCCTTTTCTCAAAAAGTTCAATAGCTATAAAATTGTCTAATATTGTAGATAGCTAACTTAAAAAGTCAAACAGGCACATTTGTGAAAAAATTATATTTAATATATTTAGGCGTTAAGTTTAATTAAAAAAACGATGTCAGCCAAAGTTAATTTATCGTGAATGGGCACATACGATTTTACCCTTTTGTTTGCCATTGTATATTTTTTCATTTATAGACCTTTATCCATAATATAAATTATACTATCTATATAAACATCTTTTTTTATTAAAACCCACATAAATGTTATTTATAAAATGAGGGAAAACGTGAAAAAATAATGTCTAATACCCTCCTTCCCCCACTCGAGAGTCGAAAACTTCCTTCGCTGAATAGTCCACTTTATTTCTACTTTCTTGAGCATAACTATTTTCAATCTGATTTGTTGAAAATATAAGCATCCTGCAAAGTTAAACATTTATCATTAGAAGCATAGTCCTGCAAACTTTGCGACATTTTTAATAAAAATTAGAAATTGTAGAATTATGCAGTATTTGTTACTTAAAAAAGGATGTACTGATTTCAAATCATTTGCAATTTGAGTACTTTGCTGCACCTGCCTGTGCAGACATTTCAATATATGCATCCCAGGGTTCATTTTATTAATTATTTTACGAATTTATATTTAAAATTCCAAAATGTGATTTTAAATAATAGTGAAACTTATTTGACACCCTGTATAAAGATATTTAATAATATATAGAACATCTGTGTTAATTTATAAAATAGTTCTAGTGTGGATGTATCACAGGCTGGTATCGAAAAATTTGTCCGCTGTGACGGAGCGTGCTATTTTGCATAGAAACACTAAGAAACCCACACAATTTATTTTTTTACTCATATGTTTCGCTATACCAAAGAAAGTTTCTTACTCCATGCAATGGGTATATCATTTGCGGGTAACTTTCACTTTTGTTTGAAGTCCAACAACGCTAAGAGTAAGAGCTATTGAAAACGGCGCCGGGGTATCATGCTCCAAAATGTACCATTTCTTTTATTTCTTTTTAATGGTACAATATAGCGACACGATAATATTTACATATGTTTTAAGGATAACTCTGAAGGTATTAATGATATCTTGATGTATTGGGTATTTTTAATATTTTTTATAAAAAATAATGTTTACATTTTTTGTCCGCTTTGACGGAGCAGTTTTAACTGTGAACTACGTTAAGAATTTAAGATTCAAATTATACCTTTTAAAAGTACCCTAAGAAGAAAGAACGTCACAAATCACTTCCTAAATTATGACAAGTAGCCTCTGGGAGATCTGGGGTAATGTAAATCTGAGATATAAAAACGACCACTCTTAGCATTTTTCGGAGGTTTGTACTGAAATCAACATGAATCAACATGGTGTAAACTCAACATAATATATCTAATACTTTTTCGCCAAGACGTCTTAGAATGTCACGTGTAGTGTAAATTGTTACGCGGAATATGGCATACATTCATGGTTGCGCGGTATTTGTGATACGGGTGAATATGCCATTCCGCAGGTGAGTATGCGATATTCCGCAGTGAATATGTGATGCATTGAATTCAGTGAATACCCGATACTCATCTTCAGAATATGTCATACTCACTTGCGGAATATGCCATATACAGCAGTTGAATATGACATATTCCGCAGGTGAAAAACGTGATACAGAAAGACTTGGTTTGATTGGTTGCGAGAATTGACTCTGAATGTAAAACTACGCTGGATTACCAATACTGTCAGTGCGTACTAATATATGAATCCTGGATTGATTGGGTAAGTTTATTACATGAGATTGGTGAGTGATACTTCTGCATACGTTGATGTATTCGATAAACTGTACTGTTGATTCAGTAATCATTATAATAATTTATAAAGTTTTACTTGTTCGTTCAATCGATGCAATTGACAATTGCATACTTCCGTATCACGTTCTCATTGGTTAGTGTGTATGTCATATAGCACAGGTGAATCTGTCATACACCGCAAGTGAATATGGCATATTCGTTGCGGAATATGGCATATTTTTGTATCGTGTTTACCGCGTAACCATTGCATAAATAGGGATACTATGAATTTATTCGAAATAGCGCACAGACATCCTGCGTTCCGACAGATGTATAACCTTTTACCACATAATATTAATGTATATAAGTTACCATAAAAAATGACCATGTCAGGTGATGGATCCACAGAAGCAACAACGAAAGGCAAATACCCTATACTGAAATAAAGTTGACTATCATTTTCATGAGTTACCATGCATAACTTGGATTACAGTACAAACTGAGAAAAGAAGCTTAAAGAGTGGTCGTATATACATCTCAGAATTTGAATTGTGTACTTTTATTCCGTTTTATTTTTCAGAATACTTTACGAAAGAGATTTGATACGCTCCCTCCTCTAACGTGTAGTTATAAAGAGATATATTATAAATCTAAATTCTTAACGTATTTCAGATTTGAAACTGCTCTGTCACAGCGGACAAAAAATTTAAACATTATTTTTTATTGAAAAAATTAAAAATACCCAATACATAAAAATCTCATTAATACCTTCAAAGTTATCCTTAAAACATATGTAAATATTATCGTGTCGCTATATTGTACCATTAAAAAGAAATAAAAGAAATGGTGCATTTTGGAGTATGATACTCCGACGCCGTTTTCTATAGCTTTTACTCTTAGCGTTGTTGGACTTCAAACAGAAGTTAAAGTTACCCGCAAATGATATATTCATTGCATGGAGTCAGTAATTTTCTTTGATATAGCAAAACATATGAGTAAAAAAATAAATTGTGTGGATTTCCTAGTGTTTCTATGCAAAATAGCACGCTCCGTCACAGCGGACAATTTTTTCGATACCAGCCTGTGTGTATTGAATGTCTAATATTCTGATAGGATTTTTTGCATCCAGTTCATACTTTTAATTTATTGAGCATAAACATTACAGTTCAATCTTCTGGTAATTCACTTGAAGTTTGTATTTTTACACGCGATACGGTGACATTACACTTTGTTCTCATGTATTCATTTACACGTGTTTATCTGTGTTGTCTGTGTTGCATATATGCGCACCCATTGGCCTCCATCTGAATAAAGATAACATTTTTTCTGAACGGATGCGAGGATTCGATGGGCTGGGATTTGAGAAATTATGATTTGAACTTTGTCAATTTTACTTTCAATGGGTGAAAAAGTAGGTTGCTTTCTACCTAATATCAACCACATTTATCAGTGAATTTCGAAAAATACGTCGAATTTAGCCATATTTCGCATATCTTTCTTTGGAACCATTTAAAGTTTCTCAAATTAACCCCTCATATTCTGGAGACGACGATCTAAATTTTACTTTTTCGTTTTTTTATTGAAAACAGTAATTTTCAGCCTAAATTGCTACATTTCTGCTCTTTTATCAAGAAATTTGTTGCAGATTTTGCCAAGTTAAAGGAACCATACCCCAAACGTTCCACAATGTGCAAAGTTCCAACATTTTGACCCTTTAAACCCATGAAAGAGACAATTTTAAAGGGACATATTCAGTAAACCTGCAATGCTACTTGAACTAGCCATCAGAACTTCATGAAAAACGAAAATCAACGATGTTCAGTTTAATAAATTAACAAATAGTCATACTCATGAGAGAATATAAATCACTTGTGCAATTTGTACAACTTTAAACAGCTGTTTTAAGTAGATTAGTATCATTATGGACAAAAATCTCCCAAAATAGCCCAAAATTTGTCCGAAAAATCAAATTTTGCATGCCAAAGACTGAATTATTTTGCTGCATTTATCAGTGCAGTGACAAGAAGTATTGTGGATAGCGCAACTTTTCCTGAAAGTTTCTCCAATAAGTTATTATAATGACAAAATAACTACATTTAGTTTGGAATAAACTGTAACAAAATATAATGATCTCAGGGGTCACGAGAGCCCCAAAACATCAAGGTGCTGAAGGGGTCACTTCATAAAACCCCGAACTTTAAAATGCATATTGAACAAAATGCATATTCAGTCAACGATGGCACTAATATAATTAAAAATTAAAAAAACACTGTTATCCGAAGGAAAGCACTGATCCTTAAAAAATCCCATATTTCTGCTGGACTATTCAACTTTTTTCGTTTTACTTTGAGGTCAGTGGTTTTGAAGGTCAATTTGAACTTTACGAGTAATATGTTTAGAACACAAGATGGGCGCTATTCCGTTCATATACTATTGCATTTTTATCAATGAATAGTATACCACATTATTTCCTGAATGATGTATGTTTAAATGTCATTTCTGTTATTACAATATGAAGTTATCAATATGTACATCTTAACATAAGTCGGGTTGTAAAAAATACCTATCTATTATATAACATTCTATTTCTGCGCAGGATAGATAATGTGTTATTACACTATTAATAGTCCCTTTCCCACAAATTCTTAGACACATTTCTGAATAAAGAGAACCTCAAATGTGATAGCCCGTAATGTTATAGAAAAACGTATTAACGATACACAAATACACTTTTTATCACGATATGTTATCTCTTAAATAGTCACATTTAAAATGTTTTGTGTAATGATGAATACGCATCCAAAAATATCATGCTTGATGAAAATAGATATTGGTTTCGGCTGCAGAGGGCACAAGACTTATGTGACACCCTGTATGAAGGTATTGCATAATATAGAACATCTGTGTAGTCATTTATAAAATAGTTTCTATATATTAATATAAACGATTGTTATTTTGACGAGCACTCCTTGCGTCCAGATCATATAATTTAGTTTTTTGAGCAATGACATTAACAATTGGATAGATCTTTTGGAAATATGAAAGTCTTGCTAAATAAGAAGCTATTCATTTTTTTAAGTTTAGGCATTATCTCCATTGCCTTTATTGCGCATCACCAGTCATTGAGACAATTGGGGAAAGAATCGACTGTCAACGAAAAACAACAAGATCAGATTGAAACTAAAGAAACTACAGAATTATGGAAACGTGATAATATCCAACAGCAACTCAATGGAAATGTCGTTGGAAAATGTAAACCTGTAAAAAACCTAGTTTTCATAAAGGTTGAAAAATGTGGCGGATCAACATTGAGTAATATATTTTTACGTTTTGGTGAGCGACAAAACTTAAGCTTTGTATTGCCAGAACCTGGAAGATCTAATATCACAAAGAAAATTCTATACGAGCATATTGGAAGATGTGTGAATATGATTGTGCATCACTCAACATACGATGGAAAACTTATGCAACGTATTATGCCACAAGACACGGTCTATATTGGTGTTATACGCGAGCCACTAAATCATCTCAAGTCATTCTATAATTATCATAATTTTGGAAACAAACAATCAATGCCAGGTCTGGCCAGGTTTGAGGAAAATCCATGGAAGTTTATGAATCAATTAGGGAATCTTCAAAACAGGCAAAGTGTCCGGTACGGATGGGCGAATAATGGAGCAATGAGTAACAAAAGCGCATGGGACTTTGTAAAGATGATTGACAGAAAATTTGATATTGTTCTCATATCTGATCATATGAAGGAATCTTTGGTATTGCTCAAGGATGTACTTTGCTGGTCATGGGAAGATATGTTATACGTGTCTCATAAGGTTGCAAACGAATCTGCGGCAATACGATATTTGAAGAAAGAAGGGCGTCGAGAATCAAGCAGTTTAGATCATGCCCAAAACAGAATTCTTGCAAAAGCAAACTTGCGTAGATTCAGTATGGTCGATTACGCAATGTTCGACTTTTTTAATCATTCTCTATGGCAAAACATTAAAATGAAGGGTGGCAAATTTCAAAAAGACTTGGCACATTTTGACGAAAAACTTAAAATCATCCAAAAAACCTGTAAATATACGGAGGATGATCTGACACTTACTGAAAAATATTTAGACAAAATAATTCACCTGAGTCCTTCATCTCCTGAATATAGATGTCACCGCATGCTACTGCCACCAATTTATTACAGTAAATACATACTTCATCCAAAAAGGGAACATAACACTTGTATTAGGAATTGATCACATTAACTACAACCGTTCTAAACACACCTTTTATATCATTCGCTCTGGGAAAACATTTAATTAAAGGATGGCAAATATAAAAATAGTACCGTGGGTACTTGGCTCACATGGTGTTGCTCAAAAGTGAATGATGGCTAAAATGACAGAAAATAAAAAACGATATAATCGTTTGCTGATTTTTGGTAACAAAATTATTTCAAGCCACTTGCCACTATTTGGACTGACTGAGAGACAGATGGACAAATCGATGTTAAGTAAATGGCTGAAAAAAAACGGATATAATTTTTTGCCAATTATTTGTCACAAAAATATTTCATACAACTACTCTTTACAGTGCAATTACAGTTTACAGTTGCAGTTTCTTTAATGATCATAGAGGTGGCTATCGTTCACACCATTTGTGACTCGGACAATGCTGGAGTCCTTCACGATGAGGACAATATCCATAAAGGTATAGTAGGATCAAAGAGGCTCAATTGATGAATAAAGATCCCGATACCATCAGCTTTAGAGACAATCCCCATACTAGGCCGGTCAATCACGATGAAGGATCAAAACGTCCAGCCCCAATTCAAATTCCCGCCATAGTAAATACTATCTAAAGGGTTAAATATTTTTGAGGCCACATATTAAGTAATTGTAATTCACTTGAAGTATGTATTTTTACTAACACGATACGGTGACATGACACTTTGTTTTCATGTATTCATTTGTTTATCTGTGTTGTCTGTGTTGCATATATGCGCACCCATTATAAAGCCTCCATCTGAATAAAGATAACAATTTAACCTTTCAAGTTGAGCATAGGAATTTATATATGTGTAGTGAGTGAGTTTCCTGGAGCTAATCGAGAATCGCTTGAAGACGTCTATTTACACACATTTGTGAAACTGACATGGTTAAGGTATGTACATGTATGTAACATCATAATGCCTCTTTTGCAATATTAACGTAACTATACTGTTATTGTTTTATATCTTTTAACAAAGTTAATGTATGCACAGTTTAGTATCCAGGTTTAAATATAAAAAAAACATAACCAAGAAACGCTCATATATTATTATAAACCAGGTGTGTGTACAGCTCAGTCGTTATCATGAGCAATACTCTAAGTTCATATTAACGTCGAGTTGATTCCTGATTCCTCAGCCGTACCACTTTATGCATGTTATGTATTAGTTACCGCGACTGTAAGGCAAGCCTAGATTTTCTAGCTGGATAGTAATCTTTCACTTGTAAAGAAAAAGGGAAAGAGAAAATAGTTATTATGCTTCAGACCTCCGAGACTTCCAACAATGCGAACATCAGTTCTGACCTCGTGAAATACGTTCCTTGCATTCGAACCACGATTCTCACATCGCGAACGCAAAATGTCAAAAGATCAAAACGCCCATTTTATTCTCGTAAAACGTCATTTACGGCAAAATCTTTATCATGTGCTTAAGATATTCGAATGTTTTCATGGAATCATCATTCTCACTTTTCTAAACTGAATTGAAGAACTGAAGTTGTAGTTTGACATTGTAGTTAACTTTTAAAATTCATTTTTTCTCGCGATTAAAAAACGAGATAAAAACGAGATAAATCCAACGGTTTCGTTCAGTCCTCGATTTTACCGTCTTCTTTTCAGATTATCATTTTCCTGTTGACATTGGTAGGAATATCTAGAGCGGACTATGTCGATGCAGGCGAAGATTTAGAGTCAAAGCGTACAGCTCTGGAGGCTGCAATCGGTAACAACGTTGAGATCGTAACATTCAATGATGAAGCAGGAAGGCAGACTGCTAAAATACTTTGGGTAAAACCAACGTCTGTAAGACAGGTTAGCAAAATGAGAATATAATAAATTGCAACAATTCCTCAACTTTAGCTGTTTGTATGTGAGTATGGGACCCAAGGTATGGAGGTGTCCCATACCAAACATTAGCCTACGTGAATACTATTTGTTCAAAAGTACACTCTAAAAATGGGTTGACGATTGCTCTCTGAGATATTTTTGTCTGAATGAAGTCAAACCGTTAATTTAAAGTGAAGTAAACGGTAACAACGCCTTAAACGATGTCTCTACCTTTAGTCTACTTTCTCAATTGCATTGGTTGATTGATTAGATGATAAGTTGATAAGGACCCCTGATTCTTTTAGATACAGCTGCTGATGGGTGAGGCTAAAAATCTAGGACTTGGAATACGTGTTGTCGGCGGCGGTCATTCATGGTCTCCCTTGTTCCCAGACCCCTACCAAATAGGCGTGAGCCTGGATGATCTTCGCGGAGAGAAATATTGGTTGAACGAGGTGAGTTGGTCACCACGATCAGGATATTGTTACATCCGTAGTACAATATACAATTATTGACCTCTCCGGAGGTTTACTGTCAAAATTATATCCCGAGACTGTAAACCGAGACCGTAGGTCGAGGTTTACAGTCGAGGGATATAATTTTGACAGTAAACCGAATGGAGAGGTCTATAATTGTTTTGTTAGTCCGAAGAATATCTTAGATTTTTCTGACACTTAAAGTTGACTTGAAGTTGGATCCAGACCCTCGAGACAACCATCGCTTTGAAAACATCGTTTGATGCCTTGAATTCAGACTTGGTAATGTCCATCTTAAGTGTCTCTCTGATGTATCGTGCCACTCCCATTTAAGAAGCTGAAATGATTTCAACTTATAAAGTCCACCGTCTTTTTTTCTAATACCAACGTAAAACTTTTTCAAAAAATTATCTACATCTGCTACGGCAGTAAGTTCACTCAATGGAGTCAAATTACTCTCCTGGGCGAAGTCCACTAAAAGCTTTGTACAAAGTTTTAGATTTTTCTTCGTATTTCGACTGTCTTTACTCTCTAAGAGACTAATAATATCCTCATCTTCAACATTTTTGAAACGGCTGGTGCTTATCCCGTTCCCGGACTATAGTCCTGCACTGATCGCATTCATTTGCCTGTACGATTACAACTTGGGAGAATTATCTACGCCCCTTACACTTAAGATACCTACCTCAATGCATTATAGAACTCAAGATGTAACTTCTAATATATTGGAACCGCCGATTGTCTGGGTATATCGGCAGAACGGGAACATTTTCTCTTTTTCATCGAGAGAGATTCCATCACTTTTCAAAATGGCGGTTGGATTTAAAAGGGGAATCCCCCGTTTGGCTGTCCCGGATGTAGCCCGGAAGTACCAATATGGAGGAATTTGACGGTTAAAATAAGTTAAATGTTACACGCAAATATTGCGATCAAAAACGAAAATGTCTTCGTTCTGCCGATAAACCCAGACAATTGTGGATTCAACTACACGAAAATAATGCTAAATTACCAAGGAATCTATTGAAGTAGGTATCTGAAGTGTAAGATCAGTAAAAAACTCTCCCATGTTGTAATCGCACAGGCAAAAGATTGAGATGTTCACAGGACCATAGTCCGGGAACGGGATAAGCTGGTGCTAGCGGCGGCCATTTTATCGTCTGATAATGACGTCATTTTAGTGGAATGCTGGGAATATTATTCACCGGCAATGCATTGCGCGGTGTACAGTTAAAAATTTTCACCGCTCGTTGACCAATCAAAATCGAGTATTTCAACTGAGGTACTAACAATATATATTGTTTACGACAGTGTACGAAAAGTCCAGTCGGAATGTTTATTAATTTTTAATTTTTATACCAATTCGTGAAATCATGTTATGACAGGAGAAAACTAAATTGACAGTATTATCATCGGAACGAATTCAAGATGTTGTAAAGTGGGCAGCTGGCGAGGGAGTGACATTAGGTCCCATTCCAGTTGGACCAGACTACACGATACCTGGCATGACAGCTACAGGTTGTCACGTGAGTAACATGCATCATAATATTCTACATATAAAGGGTATTTCGAAAATGACCGTTCCTCCCATCAACCTCTTGAGGTAGCATACTACATATGTTATATATCAAATGAAAGATTGTTCTATTGCGGACGTGGAAGAACTTAAAGTGGACGTCTTATAAGTACTGAGTATTGATTAACAAATGTTCTCATGAAAATAGTTCGCTGATTTCATGAATATTGTACCACCAATCGTCTGTACAATTCCGTCCACTCATTTGTTGGGGTTCTACACTAAATGCCTTTCACTTGAGTACTTACAATGAAGTCATTCTTCAGAGAAATCAGGAAGCATTCCTGTTTTCGGTCCCTATACTCGGCCACAAGGGTCAGTCTGAATACTACTAAATACCATGCTGACCAAGTATTAACCCTAGAGTTCCCAAGGAGTGTACACAGTGCCCCTTATATAATTTTTTCTTTTCGATAACGTTTGAAAAGCATTTGTTATCCTCATCCTTTATCCTCCTTTTTGGAAAACCCGTTTTGAAACGAAAATGACGTCATTTGTATTATGGACGCTGGTTGACAGACATTATAATAAATTTGAACTTATGATATACCAAATGAAAGATGAGTAAATTCCCTATCCATTGGTATAAAATATGACATGTTTTCATCAAGAAAATTAATATTTATTTTTGAAATACGAGTGTCCCATTTTTTTGGACCACCCTGTATTGTGAACAACTACTCACAAACACACATCCTCCAACAAATATATGAAAAAAATATGTCAACCAGTACATGTATTTCAGTTATTTCCAAACGGAGGTATAATTATTATGGATCACCCTGTTGAAAATACTAAACCAACCATGGACGAAACCGGATATTAGACCTTAGAATAAATCTGATATTTCAAGCGTTAACTTTTACAATTTCTCTTCTATCAACACATATATTTGATCATAATTATTGCTCGTATAACAACAATTATTTCATCAAGTAGAGTCCACAAGATAACTACTCAATCTCTGTACTTTCAGGGATCAAGCACACAATTTGGCCCATTTGCCAATATGGTTTATGGATATGAGTTGGTAGATGGCAATGGCAATGTCAGGAAGTTTAACGAAGATGACAACAAGGAGATCATTGATGCATGCAGAGTTCACCTGGGCTTGTGTGGTATCATATATAAAACGATTCTGAAGGTAACTATTATAAAATTAACTAAATAAATGCTCAGGTGATATCATACAAATTGACACTTTCCTCAAATACCACAGACATATCTAAAGGTGGCTCAAAATAATGACCCGGACATGAATTTGGTTTCCTTTTGGGGTAAAAACTGATGATGTGTGAGTTTTTCAATTTTGTGACAACTTTTACCTATCCATCAAAGCCCTCCAAGTTTTCCGATTTGATTTATATTAATTGGCGTCGACACATCAACGTTATTATCCTAGGATAAGCTAAATATACTCTTCTTGTCAGATAATGACTCGTGATAGTTTTGGAAAGCTAGGTACTAAACTATGTCTGGGTGATCTTTCAGATCCAGAAACAAGACCCTATCACCATATGACACATATGACATGGTCTGAGTCATCTGGTATTGAATCATAATTATATTTTCTTAATATCACTAAACAGTAAAATATTTGGACAAAAATAAACATTGGCACAAGAAATATAAGATTTTACATGGATATATGGAACATATTTCAAAGAAATATTATTTTGTGCCACTTGTGATATATCATATATTCATTGTCTGGAATTTAAACACAATATAGTCCATCCCTAAGTTTAACCTCTATATATGATAAAGTTAAAAGCACTGACTTCGCTGATGAAAGTATTATCCTTGGATCAATTAAACAACAATCGACCAAATGTTAAGGTAATCCCTGATGTGAAACAAAAGTACACGTACGCCACAAACATTCCTGTTCAAAAACTTCTTGACGACAACAATCGGCGGGATTTGGTAATGAACAACTGGGCCGTCTACCTCGTATTCATGATTGACTTTAAATCAGCAACAGAAGAGGAAATGGAACAAATGCAAGCAGACCCATTAAGGAGAATACCAGAGAGTTATGATGTATTCAAGGCAGATATGGAAATATGGTAAGAAATGCAAATATGGCGCACCTCCATTCTTCATACATCGTTAGGTTCCAGCAAGATAATATAAAATATCTCGCACACAAAGAGGAATAATCATTTTCCACATCTGAATCATTTAATCGCCATTGTGAAACGTCATAATATAATCAAATGATCTCTACCCATTAGTGCACCTATAAGGAAATTATTGAATAGGGTAAAATAGACTTCCAGAATTATTTATACAAATGCAAATCTTTATCAAGTATATTTTCAACAAATCACAAAAACAAAATGGAAAATATAGTAAAAAGGTGTGATTCTTAGAGTGAGTAAGTTTTGCTTATTTCCACAAAATCTTATGCTTAATTTGACTTGTCAAAACAAAACTACGTTCTAATCTACTAAGCTTAATTTTTCGAAGAAGCGAAGTCGAACGAATGCAAAGGGTAATTGAAACATAATTTTGTCATTAAAATGCTTGCGAATATGAAGCTTATGTTTATTTCCACTTTGGTTCAGCCTTCGTAGTAGTTTGCGACAACAAATTTTAGATTCTGCGCCGGAATAACTTCGTACCACAAGAGGAGGGAAAGCCCCAGAGCTTCAGCGATGACTGACATAATTCGTCTCTTGCGTACCACCTTCGTTTGCGCAAATTCTCACCAGTTAATTTTCGAACATAGCGCGTCGTCGTGATGTTTTAATCGATGTAAACATATGCCTTACATATTTTTTTATCTTGATGTGAAAAACCAGGATATGATATTGGTTAATACGCCAAGAATCAACGTAATATTATTCGAAGCGTTATTAGAAAATTTTGAATCCGCCATTTTTGTTTATCGATTTGGACCAATCAGAGGTGTATGTCATCTCAATACAGGTTTACATTATAAGCGTATGTCATCTTTGAACGTTATTCCTCCTCTGTCGTACCACGGTACTACATCAAAATATCATGATCACGTTACTTCAAAAAATCCGCGACAATAACATTTCAGAGGTTGACAGTTTCGTCTAAATAATTCGTATTTTGTGGGTAAATATCGTATTTTGTGGGTAAATATCACTAAATTGTAGTTTAACTTACAAAACAGTTATGCACATGGTACTAGCTAATTAGAGATTCTGACTGTCGTTTATCTTTAGATAATGTTTGTCAATGTTCGATATGTCGCTCTCTCCTCCACGTCTTACTAAGGACGTCTATTTGCTTGTCATAGGGTATGGAGTGAAGTTGATCAAAATACGCCATTGAGTGAACAATACAAAGACACTCTCACACTAGCTGATGGCTCTACGTATGAGGCTGTATCAGTTATAAAACCGTACTCTGAAACAAAAAATGGCGAATCCACTTCTCGACACCGGTGCACGCAACTGAGAACTGCTGTGTCATTTGCTGCACCAGAATCTGATGATTTCACCGAAAGTGGAAAAACACTCAGGGTAATCATTATTACGTACACTACAATATATGTACTATAATACATGTGCTATGATAATGTGCTATTGTGTATGTAGTACAATATTGTATAATGCATGTAGTACCATAATCTATAACAGTTAAAGTAGTTTGAATAATGTGATTTGTACTATAAAAATGCACTAATTATGTACTATAATCATGTAATATGCACTATAATAATGTGATGTACACTAATAATGTACTTACTAATTTTGTATCATAATGATGTGATGTATTATAATGCATGACTATTTTACATGTAATTAAAATTATTCCCGATATATTTTCGAGTCGCATGGACAAATATAATATGATTTTTATGATTATGTTTATTTGGTTGTTTTTATCAAACGAATATAAACAATATTGTAGGATCATCTGACAATACTTGAGGGACTTTTCAAAAACGTTGGATTTTACCCTAAACTTGAACTTGGCTCATTCTCAGTTCTCCGATGGATGAAGCACTTTGATGACTGCCTGTTATGTCCGTCAACTGTAAGTTACTTTCTGAACATTTCCAAAACGAGACATAATATTATTTCATTGAGCGAATTTTAACTATGAACATTCTAATCGAAATCATGCTTTTCGAAATATTAAAATATATAATTTATCTTTAAAAAATCCTTGCACGTCCAAGTTATGCTACTCGTTTATATGTGGATGGCCAAAAACACAATACGGAGTGATACAATTGTAGAGTGCATACCTTCAGGTTGCAGATGATAGCTCTTTGAAGAAGTTGGTAACATATAGTGAGATGGTCACACTTTATGATAAATGTGAAGAACCAATTATAGGTGAAGTTAACTCGACAAAACAAAAATTATTGGAGACGAAGGTAATAGTGCCCTGAATACATTTCCACTGTTCTCGTTAAAGATATTGAAATAGAATTGAGGCAAACGGAGACTAAAAATTTACTATGATTAATTTGAGTCTTGTGACATTCTACAGTTCATCATTTTGTAACCCTACTATCACACCAAACAAGTTCTCACTACGTTCTCGAAAACGGGCTTCAACTGTGTACGAACGGACTGGACGTACTAAGAACCGTCTGTGGTCTATTTACAAACTTCATCGAACGTACTCGAACGGGTAGGTCTTTTAGAACTTAGAACATGCTCAAAATGTTCTCGTGGTCGATACGTTCTACAATTAGAACGAGTGACAACGTACTAACGACGAACGGAACCGTCGTACTTCAATCCTACTAGGGACGTTTTTACAACGAGTTGAACTGTCTGAGGACGTACTGAGAAAGAGGTAGAACTAATTGCAAACGGGTTTAAACTGATTAAGAACGTAATAAAGACTGCTTATGGACGAGTTATCAAAAATGTAGCTATCACACCAAACAAGTTGCCAATACGTTCTTCAAAACTGGTTTTAAACTGTGTGCGAACGGAATGAACGTAGCTGCAACTTTCTAAGGACTATTTACGAATTTCATGAACGTTCTCAGACAGGAAGGTGATTTTAGAATTTTGAAACGATGGCGACCATACCGTTTTGTAATCAGGTCATGATGACCTTCTAGACTAAGGGACGCGTTATACGACGTTGCACACCGACGTGGTCGACCTGAACGAACTGCGAATGATCGAGATGGACGTATTGAAGACTGTTTATAAACATATTTTAGACATATTTCCCGACCACAGCCAGATTGAGCCCGTTTTACGACGTTTTCGTAGGACTGGCAAGAACGGGTAAGAACTAGTTTGGTGTGATAGGGAGGTGACTCTTCATTTATTTTTATATTCATGTTAAGAAAACGATAAGAAAAGTCATTCATTTCAAACTGTTCAGTTATTACATTTAACAAACTGTTCTGTTTCTTAGTTTGGAGTCGATGTAATGAAGAACAACCCTCGAGTCCTGCCACATTGGGGAAAGTATTTCGAACATATCCCTGGAATGTCTGATCAGATTAGACGTCAATTTGGGGATGATCTTCGGACCTTCATCAACATGCGCAACAAATATAACCTGGATAACAAGAACCTGTTTGTCAACAATCACTTGAAGGATATTTTTAGAGATGCCCTAGCTGAGACTTGTCCCGGATATAATCCTTTTACAATAAATACATAACAATTACAGAAATTGCAACAATATCTGTTTCGACTTCAATTTTACCTACGTAAGGTAGTTTTATCCCGTTAGAGGGTATGACTTAAGGAATGTGTACATGGGCCGACCAGAGAGAAACACTGGACCATTGAAACTAGCATATTAAAATTCTTAGTGTACCAACCTTGAGAAACGAACAATATGCAATACCTCGTGTTCATTTCTTTGTACTTGGCTCTTAAATAGATGCAAGGACAACTTGATAGCTTTACGTTCCGCATTAAAATATTATTTTTAATCATGTACATTTTCATAGTTGTTTTGCATGTTTGTATATCTATGTACTTTTTAAAAGATTTTTTTTTAAATACAAATGTTTTAATTGGTTGTGATACATACTTATCTTGTGCAGCTTGTGGCAACACCACCAACTTATCGAGATATAACTTTTCAATTATTTGATAATATACACGTTTTTATATAATCGTGTATATGTTATTGCATGTATTTTTGTAAAGTTCTAAAGTGCTTGGTTAAGGTTCTAAGTGTCAACAAGGTAACCATTGTTCCGTCAATAAACGGGGATCATGTGCTTGTAAAGGGGTAATGCCATTGAGAAAAACCTCCTCTGCCTCATTTTTTCAAAAGTGTGAAAATTAAAAGACTCACAAATTCTCATTTGAATATTCTTAATAACAAGTTAAATCCATATATCCAATGATGGCACATGCAAAATTCTGGAAATTAACATGACATGAGGAATTACGTCAGATATGAAAATAATTCTGTTTTGATGTAGAAATAGAAATTCTCTCAATTTTTTTTTCTCAATTCTCTCAATTTGACAGTAGTGTCTTACTGAAGTAAGACAGTCCCTCAGAATGTTTTTGGAGTCCATGGCATGCATTTTTCTGAATTGATGTCAATAATTCTGTTTTTAGCTAGAGATAATAGATGGTAATAGATAATAGATAATATATAGATATTATATTTGAAATTAACCGTAATGTGTACAACGTATTTTTCATAACAATTTCATAACAATTGTTTCAAAAGTGGAAGAGGTACAGTAAAAAACAAGGGACCACACTGTAGGTCTTTCAAAACTCTCAAGGGAGGTTATTAAAATTTCGAAAAGGTAGGTCAAATGGAATGGAAAGTAGGTCAAAGTAACATAGGAGTGAGCTTTTTTCGCGTATTTCTGATTCTATTACAAGCATAACAGGTTGAGACAAGGACACACCATTGGTCTGAATCCCAATGGCCCAAATCCACTCGTCCGAATCCCAATCGTCAGATACCCATTGGTCCAAATTCAAATCGTCCGAATCCAATTGGTACGAATCCCATTTGTTCGAAAATCAACACTGTCGAAAATATTTTCCAAGGGACCAGAGCACGCGACCCATGACACATACTTTAAAAGTGTGTTTAAAAAATATCAAAGTAAATGAAAATGTGATCAACATAAACGCTTGAAATGTACAGAAAATGAATGAACCCTGTAGTCCTTTTAAAAACTGTGTGCGTTTGTAGAGACAAGGTTGATTTAAAGTACGAGGGTACCGCAATAAAGATGATGTGCTAAACTCTGATTTTAATACAAGCATGTCAAATGCTTGTGATCGTGTTATAGTTACTTCAGCTCTAAAAATGGTAGCCAAATGAGTTATAAGAAAATGGATTCTGGTATCTCAAAATGAAATACCAGCACAAATAGTTTTTAGTAAGACACATTGTATGTCGCAAGTGTTCTGTTGGACTATTGTAGGGGTTTATTGATAAATTGATTAATCTATCAATTCATTTATTTATCAAACAACAAATTGTAACTTCATTTCAAGATTGCAAACAATTATAGATAATTTACACCATTGGTCTCCCACTTAAGCTTCATTTTGGAGAAACCAGATTTCTCACCACATTAGCCTACCAAATGAAGCCATCTTTGAAATACTAATGACATCCAATTGAACTGAAACCTACACTTCATAATACCCCACTATTCTCGCCACTTTTATTTTTATAACTCAAGTTCCATTCAGTGAGTTGTTTCAATAGACATTCAAAAGAATGAAACATATGATTTATGTGTCTGCTCTTTGACAGAGTTATATGAAAACCAAAATTTACTTGTAACTACCCTTTTATATTCACATTTTTCAATAGTACGTTTTGCAAGTTTGCTTGTGCTTCTGTTACTTGTTCAGCTTGAGCCACGACACAGATGTATGACAATTTTTGAAATGAAAATCAAGGTGATTTGGTGCAAAGAAATTCATTAAGTATTGATAGTTATGTTGTTTCTAATATTGTATAAATTGCAAATTTATCATTTTAGGCTTTATTTGGTAGCCCATTTTTTATTTTCATTTTCTTTAAAAAATATCATATACAGTATCAGGACATAAATAATTGTATTGTTGTGCCTAAAAAAATATAAAATGAGGTAAATGTAAGACTGGTAAAGAAATATTTGCTCTAATTTATATATGGAAAATGCAAGGGACTCTGGTTAATCTATTTAAGAGGCTCCAAATGTCATTGTAACTCTTTGCATCATTTGAAACTTTTTCTTCACATTGTTTTTTCCTTCGCTAGGTTGGTTAATTATACAGGGTATCAACTAAATATGTTGCCCCTTTAGCTTTGCTTTACATACTGATTATGCTACATAGCTTTTTTGTCTGTGTGATGTCTGAATTGTTCTTTTGCATATTGAAATTCGGCTTCATTGAGCAGCCCCACTAGATGTTTCAGATGACTAACTTAATGAGATCAACTTTCATGCATAAAAGTTCCTACTTTTGAGATTAAGGAGAAAACATATATCTATTTGACACCCTGTATATGTGTAATATAATATCTCAAGGCAAAGAAAATGAGTGTAGTAGGATCCCATATATCATCAGCATTTGAGACAATCCCACAGCTAGACCCGTGTAAAAAATTAGGAGGTCCTATCAAATTATGGTCCTATTCTCCATTGATTTATTTTGTGACCTCTTTCCCATATTATCTTATACACAATTAGGGCCAGTAAGGGCCGTTAAGAAGGGGGACCATAATCCCCGGTGGACCATAATTTCTTTCACACTGGTCAACCTCAACATCGATGAAGGACCAAAACTTCCATCCCAAATATCAAATTTCCCGCCACAATAAATGAAATCTAAAGGAATCTTGAGTAAATATTTGGGACTACTACTGGGTGTCCAAAAACGTTGGGACCCCCTCAAGCAGACATAGTACATAGATGTTATGATAAGAGGAGTTGGATGCTCAAACTTTAACATAAGACAGAATAGTAAGTTTGCTTGAGACTGTCTGAGTTTCATTGAAATTGGTTCATTGGTATTGGCACAGAGTCAATACAAATTTTTAATGATTGAATTAGGTGGAGCAGCGTTTTTTATAGAAATTGTGCTAAGCTGCAGTTTTGGAAATTTCTAACACTTAGTAGTGTCATCTGTCAACAGACTGTAGTTTAATCATGTTTAATTAGTTTTACTGCTAATATGAATTTTCATTCAAAATATTCAACCCCAGTTGCAATGCACTTCCTATATCTGTCCACTCGATCCAAAAACACATGTTTAAGGCCTTCGTATGAGAGGTTTGAAACGATGTCGCTACATTTCCAGAACCACAACTCAGCAGGTATTTTATATATAACGCTGCTCCACCTAACTTTGTCATTGAAAATATGAATTGACTCTGTGTTACTACCAATAAACCAATTTATATGAAACTCGTACAGTTTCAAGCAAACTAACTATCCTGTCTCATGTTAAAGTTTGAGCTTCCAACTCCTCTTATTATAAAATTGAGAGCCAACGGTAAGAAACTTTTTGATCGGCCCTTGTATAACACATATTACAAGTATGGAGACATTTGTATAAATCTGTCTAGGAGGTTACATACTTTTGGGAGACCCTGTATATAGTTGAAATTTACCTGTTTTCAACTTGTTTAATCCAAAACGTTAGCGCAGCCGCAGACCTTCAGCTAGACTGTGTTCATACGGAAGCTCTTTGGAAGTAATAAGGATAACATGATTTAATTTTCCGAGTTTAGCATCGGGATGTCATATGCGCTGTGAGTGGAGAGTTCTTGGTCTTCACAGAAGTTTTCTGTAGCTTATTAAGGATCACATGAAGACGAATCTGTAAAATTAATATGATTAAGGTACAGTTTAACTTCAAAATATATTTTCACAAAATAACGAATTTGGTATAATTATCATATATATAGAACCATATAATTATATAATATCCTTTTATATTCAGTATAGGCAGCATAACATTCAGGAATAAATGTTACGAAAACAAACTCCATAATCTCGGTTTGTGTTCAACTAAGTCGTTATTATAAGAAAAAGGTTCATATTTACATGGAGATAGGTTCATCTATAAATCGAGGTACATCTATAAATTATTAGGTGTTCTCCCCTTGGCGTTATCCACCCTACACATAGAGCGCGAGCAAATTACTACGCTGGCTGCATTTGAAGAGACTATCTGGCTATTTCTCAACTTCTTTCTCATGGTTTACTTTTTGGAAGCACCTACTGACTTATTTAAGATATTAATATATCTTATATGGGTGGCAAACCTTTTAGTATACACTTAATTGAAGAAATATGACAAAAATATAGGAAACATGGGAAAGTATGCCTACAGTACATAATGAATAAAATACGATGTAAAGTTGGTAAATCAGAAAGTTTCCTCGATGTTTCCACTAAAGAATCTCAATATCCTCATATTATCACGTTAACTGAAGTATTATGAGAGTACTATATACATTCCTAACATATTTTGCATCATTGATGTTATTTTGAAGAAGTTTACCATTATTTTTCCTGAGGAAACTTCATTTGAAATCCCGAGATCAAATCTTTGGATGAGAGTACTACGCGTGTCAATATCAACCTCTTGGGATTACCGCACTACAACTTGAAAGATGCGATAGACTGCTCAAATATCGACCCCAGATCCAGTGCTCATGTGTATCAAAAGCACATAGACTGTGGAATAACTCACTATAATATCAAATTGTTATAAAATTTCGAACTTTTATACAAGGGTAGACCTGGGAGGGTAGCATTTGATCTTGAGCAGTGTTTGATATGTCGTGCAATTTAACCAATAAGTATTTGGTTGCAATGTAGGTCTATCCAAAGAAAGTTACTTAAGTGCATAAAAGATATATACAAGGCATTAACATGACAAAATGTCACCACCTAGTTGCTCACAATATTATGAGTTCAAACTTAAGTCAGATTTGAATTTCTGAGAACTTGTAAAGTCAAATTTGAACTTCTGAGAAGATGTAGATGATTTTGAAAAAAAAATTTGGTCAATTTGAAGAAAGTTGAAAACAGACCTTTTTGACCTTTTTTGACCTTGAGAAGGTCATTAAAGGTCAAATGTCAAATCTAAAGTCAGATTTGAATTTCTGAGAACATGTAGATGATTTTGAAAAAAGAAATTAGTCAATTTGAAGCAAGTTGAAAAAAGACCTTTTTGACCTTTTTTGACCTTGAGAAGGTCATTAAAGGTCAAATGTCAAATCTAAAGTCATATTTGAATTTCTGAGAACATGTAGATGATTTTGAAAAAAAATTTAGTCAATTTGAAGCAAGATGAAAAAATACCTTTTTGACCTTTTTTGACATTGAGAAGGTCATGGAAGGTCAAATGTCAAATCTAAAGTCAGATTTGAATTTCTGAGAACATGTAGATGATTTTGAAAAAAAAATTTAGTCAATTTGAAGCAAGTTGAAAAAAGACCTTTTTGACCTTTTTTGACTTTGAGAAGGTCATTGAAGGTCAAATGTCAAATCTTAAGTCAAATCTTAAGTCAAATCTAAAGTCAGATTTGCATTTCTGAGAACACGTAGATGATTTTGAAAATTTTTTTTAGTCAATTTGAAGCAAGTTGAAAACATACCTTTTTGACCTTTTTTGACCTTGAGAAGGTCATTGAAGGTCAAATGTCAAATCAAAAGTCAGATTTGAATTTCTGAGAACATGTAGATGATTTTGAAAAAAAAAATTAGTCAATTTGAAGCAAGTTGAAAAAAGACCTTTTTGACCTTTTTTGACCTTGAGAAGGTCATTGAAGGTCAAATGTCAAATCTAAAGTCATATTTGAATTTCTGAGAACATGTAGATGATTTTGAAAAAAAATTTAGTCAATTTGAAGCAAGATGAAAAAATACCTTTTTGACCTTTTTTGACATTGAGAAGGTCATCGAAGGTCAAATGTCAAATCTAAAGTCAGATTTGAATTTCTGAGAACATGTAGATGATTTTGAAAAAAAAATTTAGTCAATTTGAAGCAAGTTGAAAAAGACCTTTTTGACCTTTTTTGACTTTGAGAAGGTCATTGAAGGTCAAATGTCAAATCTTAAGTCAAATCTAAAGTCAGATTTGAATTTCTGAGAACACGTAGATGATTTTGAAAAAAATTTTTAGTCAATTTGAAGCAAGTTGAAAACAGACCTTTTTGACCTTTTTTGACCTTGAGAAGGTCATTGAAGGTCAAATGTCAAATCTAAAGTCAGATTTGAATTTCTTAGAACATGTAGATGATTTTGAAAAAAAAAATTAGTCAATTTGAAGCAAGTTGAAAACAGACCTTTTTGACCTTTTTTGACTTTGAGAAGGTCATTGAAGGTCAAATGTCAAATCTTAAGTCAAATCTAAAGTCAGATTTGAATTTCTGAGAACACGTAGATGATTTTGAAAAAATGTTTTAGTCAATTTGAAGAAAGTTGAAAACAGACCTTTTTGACCTTTTTTGACCTTGAGAAGGTCATTGAAGGTCAAATGTGAAATCTTAAGTCAAATCTTAAGTCAGATTTGAATTTCTGAGAACACGTAGATGATTTTGAAAAAAAAATTTAGTCAATTTGAAGCAAGTTGAAAACAGACCTTTTTGACCTTTTTTGACCTTGAGAAGGTCATTGAAGGTCAAATGTCAAATCTAAAGTCAGATTTGAAGGTCAAATGTCAAATCTAAAGTCAGATTTGAATTTCTGAGAACATGTAGATGATTTTGAAAAAAAATTTAGTCAATGTGAAGCAAGTTGAAAAAAGACCTTTTTGACCTTGAGAAGGTCATTGAAGGTCAAATGTCAAATCTAAAGTCAGATTTGAACTTCTGAGAACATGTAGATGATTTAGAAAAAAATTGAAGTCAGTCTAAACAGTATTTGTTAAGTTATAGGAAATTGTTACAGACGCCGGACGCCAACCGCCGGACGCCAACCGCCGGACGCCAACCACCAACCGCCGGACACCAACCACCAACCGCCGGACGCCAACCACCAACCGCCGTCGCAAAAAACGGAGACCATAACAATATGTCACCACTTTTGGTGGTGACATAACAAGTGTCGAACTCTGTAAACAATTTTTGCACAGGTAATTAACATTTTAAACAATAATGACCTTTTTTCAAGTGTAACTCTTTACTTTGGCCATGACCTTGGACCTTCAGATGACATTGATGCTATATACACCTAAACGGATTATTTTGCTGTACCATACATGATATTAAGTGACTTATTTCCAAAGAGATATCCTGGATATACATACATGTACAGTATAGGGTATGTCACTTGTGTGCATAACAAAATATGAATGGATATCGCATTTGTCTCTTAGTGCCACAACTGTTGACAATGGAAGGATGGACGGACAGACGGATGTCACTTAATAATCTGCTGCTTCTTTCCAGCTGGACGGACGTACTGATGGAGAATTCAATACGTTCACACAGCTAAAAATGATGTAAACTGACATGCTTTATATCCCAAACCTTTCCAGGGGGACTCTAACACTTAAATTAAAGTTCCTAAAAATCCTCAAATACTGAGTAAGATTGCAATAATCATTGGTCAAAGGGACTTCTATCAAGTCCCTTCATATGGGCCTGACAATAGTTGGATGACCAGTTAAGGAAAGCACTAGCATAGTACTGTACCCCCACTGAAGACAAAAATCCATATATTGTTTCTCAACCAGTATGTAGGTAGAGTTGTGGAGGTCCTTGGTGAGTTCCAGTATGACTGTACGTGGAAGCTCATAGCTGTGTATTCAAGAGTATTTAGAAAGACCAAAATACTTTGAACACCAAATCAGATAAACATCTTGAATCTGGACAGTGTCCATTTCATTGGAGGATTTGCTGCATTCAATTTCAGTTGTCATTTCATTGTATTGGATTTCATGTGTTATTAAATCAGATTGACATTTCATTGGGTTTGAATTTTGAACTTTTGAACATTTCATTTTATTTTCATTAATTACACTTATTGTCATATATTCATCGCTATCAATAATTTTTTCTTTTATTTGCGTTTGTCACTGCACTTGGTATAATTACTATGCATTAGAATCATAAAATACTCACCCGCCGTAGTCCTCTCCTAAATTTTCGGCAGAGTTCTACTTAGGACTTGTACTGTAACAAATTCGGGCTGTTATAGGATCTAATTACATGCATAGATGGTGGATGGGGTCATCATCGTTCAATTGTCAGCTTACCTGGATAATTGGTAGCTTAGCAGTTGATCGAGAGGAAGAAATAAATGGAAATAATTTGGCGGTTTTTTGGAATTTGTTTTTATCTCAGCAGCGCATGCCAATAGGTCGGCGTTTTTATAGTAAGCTGTCAAACATAGGTACTTTGAATATCATTCTTTTAAGAAATTCAATAATTGCTGGTATACAGCTTGAAAACAATCAAAATGTTGGAAAGAAAACTTACTTCTCTTCAGCCATGTTTGAAATAGCCAGATAGTCTCTTCAAATGCAGCCAGCGTAGTAATATTGCGTGCGCTCTATGTGTAGGGTGTTATCACGTGTGTTAAATTACGACAACCGTAAGGCGAGTGTGGATTTCTTGGGTAGTCTTAACTCGATATCGGGGCACAACGATCGTAATAATCACTGTTCCACAGCTGGATAACTCTAACTGCAGTTAGCGTCATTCAAGATGGTTGCCGAAATTCATTCGTTTTCGACAAACCTACGATTCCAGCTAAACTAAGTTGAATCTTGATTCCAAAAGTTTGCTCATCCAGCTGTGGAACAGTGGTAATATGTATTTTCTTTACAGGTTATATATTTCTTGTTGGTTGTGTTGGGAATATCCCAAACGGACTGTGTTGATGCAGATGCAGATTTAGAGACAAAGCGCTTAGCTCTGGAGACTGCAATCGATAACACCGTTGACATCAAAACATTCAATGATAATGCAGGAAGACAAACTGCTAAAATACTTTGGGTGAAACCAACGTCTGTAAAGCAGGCTAGTAAAATTTGAATTTATAGTGAAGCGCAACGATTTATAAATATTATTGTTTTTATGTTTATCTAGGAGGATCCATTATGTAAATACAATCATTTGTCTTACATGTCTTAACGAGTCAAAGAAATCCAAAGTGTATTCAACGCTATTAAACCCAACATTGGTAGCAACACAATAGAATGAAGGTTTATTTTTAAAAAATGTCCTGCTGTAACAAAGAAAAGGCATTATTTTTCTATTATTTTTTTTAAGATCATTGTACAATTTGACAAACTATACAGAACGAGTGCGATACAAAAGACGATTGACTGTCACATGCGGTGCACTAGCTCATTCAATAGTTGAAAAGTAAACACAAAGCAGTCAAATTATAAACAGTTACATGCAGTGCACTGAAGCTGAACTCATTACACTGACTCATTTCTAAACACTCTTACCTCAAAGTTAATACAAAAGAAATCAAGTTGTTGTTAAATTATATCGCGTGCAATTTAGCTTTCCTAAGAGTCGAATTAACGTTAGATAAACTATTCGTATTGGATTTTGGCATAATTAATAGCCTCGGCCTATCGGCCTCGGCTATAACTCCTCTTGAAACCAATCCTCGTAGTTTATCCCTCTCAGAATGACTATAATCATGGATTATTTACAAGATGTCTCTCAGTTATGCCTTGGCCGCATTTGCTCCGATTTTCCCTACGGCGCCCGGGCGATTGAGTTATGTGTTCAAAATTGAATACATTATTGAAAAAAACACTCAATCGGCCGGGCACCGGCCGATGGATCGGAGTTAATGTGACCCGGGCATTACTCGATTGATTGATTGATTGAATTGGTAATTATTGTTGAAATCCTTGATTGGGATCCTCTCGAAATACTTTTAGATAAAGCGTCTGGTTCGTGGGGCTAAAAATCTGGGCCTCGGAATACGTGTTGTTGGCGGGGGTCATTCGGTGTCTCCCTTGTTTCCAGACCCCTACCAGATAGGCGTGAGCCTGGATGATCTTCGTGGAGAGAAATATAGTTTAAACGAGGTAAATCCTTTGGTTATTATTAGTTCAAGAGTAAAATCCAGCATATAAGAATAAATGGCATCAGTAGACTTTTTTCATTTTCAAATGTTAACTAGAACCTTTAATTGCTTTTATTGTATGACATGGAATAAAATAGTGCACGATAAAATTGAAATAATAAACTTGAAATCAAAAATATTTTTTTAAATTGCGCTTGACTGAAGTAGACTTAATGTATTTTTTGACAGGAGAAGACTAAATTGACAGTGCTATCATCTGAAAAAATACAAGATGTTGTAAAATGGGCAGCTGGCGAGGGAGTAACATTAGGTCCCATTCCAGTTGGACCGGAATACACGATTCCTGGCATGGTAGCTACGGGTTCCCATGTGAGTAATGCCATATACAGGGTGTTTCATAACTATTTATTCTTCATTGTTTTGGTTGTGCCAGGCTGTCCTAAGTTTTAATGTTAAAAACGTGCAATAGTCCATTCCACAATTTATCAAAAAGTGTTGTTTGAATCTGTTTAAAATTCAAATGACGACCCTTTTAATGTACATATTGTGATTAATTATGGAAACTCTGATTGTGGAAGGAATAAATTTAAACCAAGATTCCAAACGTTCGATCAAAAGAGGTTTGGCCCCACGCATTTTTAGAAGAGTTGAAAAAGTCATGGAAAATGAGTTATATAAAATAACTATATTAATCAAAGACATTGCGATCGTATCATTTTGGCAATTTGCCTAATCATGACATTTGACTAAAAGTCGACCTACAGATACCGTGCCCCTAATCATTTAGTGATTTATTATTTATAAGTCTGATTCTAATATGCAGTTTTGTTGAATATTAATTCTAGCAAAAAAATGTATCAACCTCTCCACTCTGCTACAGCTGTGTGTAGTTGGCTGTTCTACACTCAAGTGCTTTTTATTTGACTATCATAAAGTCTTGGTTCAGAGATCTCAAAATTGAGGAAAAATCCTGTTTTCCTGACCCTTTATACACGGCCCTTTTGGGTCAGTCCGAACAACACAGAATCTTTATATGAATGTCAAGCAGTTATACATTTTACTTAATATGTTCAAGATAAAACACCAGGCGGAAAACTGTTCAAACATTATTTTATTTGTTTATAACAAAGCGATACGCAGTAACTTCAGAGGGCAGTAAAATTAATAAAATTACTGTTGTCTCGAGACAGGCAGAACATGGGATATGTGTGAAATAGTATAATTTGAAATAGTAATTCTCCTTTCTTTAGTTGGAAGTTAGACTTTTAATTTCCGCGAAAAGTTTCCCCATTTTTTCGCAATCATCTTACTAAAATATTTTCTATGTAAATTGTTGCCTTCTCATGTATTTCTATATTCCTGAAGAGTTAATACAAACACTGCAATCATCCATGTCTTTACAGGGGTCGAGTACAAAGTTTGGACCATTTCCCAATATGGTTTATGGATATGAGTTGGTAGATGGCAATGGAAATGTTAGGAAGTTTAACGAAAGTGACGACAAGGAGATCATTGATGCATGTAGAGTACATCTAGGCTTATGTGGTATTATATACAAAACGATTCTAAAGGTAAATGTAGGGTCCACCTAGGCATGTGGGGCATCATATACAAATCAATTCTATAGGTATTCTGTTGTATGGTCAAGCTACATGTAGATATGTGTGGTATTATATAAAACAACACTGAAGGTAAATATATAGTGTCAACCTAGGCATTTGTGGCATCATATACATAGAGATTTTTCAATGGGAGGGATGGAATATGAATTTTATTCCGAGGGAAAATATGATATTGGCCAAGGAATATATCAAATTGACCGAGGGCGATAGTCCGAGTCTCAATATGATATTTTCCGAGGCCAATATCATATTTTCTCAAGGATAAAATTCATATTCCATCACGACCATCAATAACCTATTTATTCTATAATAATTTTCTAAACTTATTTATTTTTAATTTTTGCATGTCATCACCCAATGATTGTGACATAAAATGATACAATTTATCATCTAACATTTTCAACTTTTATTAACAAGTTTCAATTAAAAAGATAAATGATTAATAACACTAGAGAAATTACCGGGAATGGTTCTGATACGGGATTTTTGCTGATACGGGATTTTTTTTAACATCAATTTTATTCCCTGTTATTTTCCCGGGGAAAACATGTTATTATGGAATAAAAAACAATTCTGAAGGTATGGAAGATCCACAATTCAATGTTCTTGCCATGGCGAATAATAGAACAAAATCAAGATTAAAATAATGCCCATTAACTCGTGTTCAAACATCTGCTAAGTAAAGTAGATTGACAACTATCGGGGAAACTATTACAGTTTTGGTTTGCTATTACAGGTTGAGTTTTTGGGTCACCCTATATGTGCATGTGATAAATCATATATTTATCCCTTGGGATATAAACCCAAGATAAAGTCCCTCCCTAAGTATGCATATAAAATAAACACTGAATTTCACTGGTAAAAGTTATAATTCAATCAATAAAAAACATAATTGTCCTATGTTGCAAGGTGACCCCTGATGTGAAACAAAAGTACACGCACGCCACCAATATTCCTGTTCAAAAACTTCTTGACGACAACAATCGGCGGGTTTTGGTAATGGACAACTGGGCCGTCTACATCGTATTCATGATTGACTTTAAATCAGCAACGGAAGAGGAAATGGAACAAATGCTAGGAGACCCATTAAGGAGAATACCAGAGAGTTATGATATATTCAAGGCAGAAATGGAAATATGGTAAAAAATGCAAATATGGCGCCCCTCCATTCCTCAAACATCGGAAGGTTTCAGCAAGATAATGTAGTATCCTACACAGAAACCCGAGAGTACTTTTTTTACATTTGAACCAATTAATCGTCATCACCTTAAAAAATATCCCATGTGCTCATTTTTCATTTTGAGGAAAAGACGCTCTATGAATCCTTGCTACGCCATAACAGGGAGCCAAATATTGACAGTCAACAACTGCCTTAAAGATGAAATATGAATTTCAATAACATTGCCCCATGTTCAATAACATCCTCTTGTCTCAATTTTTCAATTTTTACCTAGACACGCCTGTATTGCTGTTATAGGATATGGAGTGAAGTTGACCAAAATACGCCATTGAGTGAAGAATACAATGACACTCTAACACTAGCTGATGGCTCTACGTATGGTGCTGTATCTGCTATAAAACCTTACTCGGAAACAAGAAATGGCGAGTCTATCTGGTCCCGAGACCAATGTATACAAATGAGAACAGCAGTGTCATTTGCTGCCCCAGAATCTGATGATTTTATTGAAAGTGGTAAAACGTTGAGGGTAAGGATCACAACGTACACGACGATATATGTTACTATATTAATTTACTACTATAAGTACTATCATAAAGTACTATATTGCGTTCAGTCATAGCTAATTTTGCTCTTTCATGTCTTGTCATTCATCATTCAAATTTTCAGAGAAGGAGCTTTTGACACTTTCGAACTACCCTGGAAAAGGTTCTACGGATCTATTTCAGTTTTTTGTGAACGTAAGTTTCTATCCTGTTTATGTTTTGACCATATTTCTGTGGTTGCTCGACATCTCTACAATCAAGTCAACATTCCATTTCATGCCCAAATAGTTCTTAGCATCAATCACATAGCTGGTGTCGTTCTACCCACTTCTGATATTTTCTGTCGGAACCATCTGGAAAGCTATTTGGCGCCATCTTGTTAACTTGATCCGCAAGATGAGACATAGCAGTCTCCTACATATTCCATCAGGATGTACTTCATCGCATACGTCGCAAATGATGTAGGATACCCAGAAAACGCTAGGGATGGAGATTTAAGGCAAGTCAGCATATTTCTCGGACAAGGCACCGTTAGATTTGGGGTATGTTCATGTCTCATGAAAAATGATTTGCGTGTTAAGATCCATGCAAATACCCACGAGCTTCAGAATGCTGTCCACATTCGCTGACAAAGAACCTTCCAGATGGGCTCCACAGAATATAACAGAAGAAGATAGAACGATCCCAGCTTAGTGTGAACCAACTATGGAAATGAAACGGAATGTAAACTTGATGGTAGACATGCCGAGTAGCCGCATAATTATGATCAAAACCAAGATAGAGCAGAAACTAATAGAGCAGAAACTAAGTTCGTTAACAAAATCTACTATGCTGTGAACTTTTATAATTGCTCTGCAAGTTTGAGAGCAAAATTAGCTATACTTATACAGGACGCCCTGTATAATGTTTGTACTATACTTATAATGTTTTCTAAAAATGTTCTAGGAATTATTTTCGAATTATTAATCTGAGTAACCTGGATGAATACAATAAAATAATTTCTTGTTCATGATCATATGCTTGTATTGCAAATGGTGAGTTCGTTATAATTCACGAATCGTATATGATATATCAAATCTACGAGTACTATAATATATGGGGTCCAAAAATGACCAGCTTTCGAACAAGTATTTTCTCAGCAATGGATTACCAATTTTTGAAAATCTACGTAACATTAGGGTATTACTTATAAGTATGCAAAATATTTAGAGGATCTGTTAAAAATTGTACTCAAACTTTAAAATTCAAAGGAGTATGTCAAAATATTCAGTATCAATGAAAAAGTCACTTATTTCACTCTACATAAAGTCATTTTTCTAGGCAAAAATGCTTTGATCATTTCTCCCAACTATATCACCTCCCATGACATAATCATATCAATGACATAATTATATCGTATTATAAATCTGTTTCATGTAACATGACACCATTCTTTATCCCAAAATTCCTTCCCGACTTTATTTTCTACACCATTCTGCTCCTTGAAACAGTCTGCAATGGCAGTCTTATCACTCTCACTCAAAGGCATCATTAATCCTTCAAAATGTCGGCAAAAACTAATTTTGGATTTGGACAACAAAGAAAAAATAAATAGATTTGACACACGACAACTTTTTTTCGAGTTTTTGAAGGCTCTGTTGCGCAATTCTGATATTGGATTTTCTGACATCGAGTTTCGTCAGTTCTCTGCTTTATATTGATGAGACTTGCTAATTGTACTCTAGGGCAACTCTGTGTACAAATTCTTGACGAATTTGGTCAAATACTTCTCAAAATATGGCTCACTCCTTGGGATATCCGATATATTTCAGGAGCATCTGACCATCCTGGAAGGGATTTTCAAAAACATAGGATTTTATCCTAAACTTAACGCATCCTCGGCTCTTCGATGGATGAAGCATTTTGATGACTGCCTGTTATGTCCGTCAACTGTAAGTGGCTTTTATTTTCGTCCATTGTAGTTTTCATAATCCCCGGGAGGGCAGTACGTATTTCAAAATACAGGATTGAGGGACTTGTAAAATACGCAATGGCATTTTTGATCATACGGTACTGAATCAGCCAATACGATTTCTAACTATGATACAATAAATCATGATATCCTTCACAAAAGTATTGATATTGAGATGGCTATAAAACACAATACGGAGTGATACAATTGTAGATTGTATACCTTCAGGTTGCAGATGATAGCTCTATGAACAAGTTGGTTACATATAGTGAGATGGTCACCCTTTATGATAAATGTGAAGAACCAATTATAAGTGAAGTTAACTCGATGAAACAAAGATTATTAGAGACGCAGGTAACAGTGCCTTGAAAATATTTTCATTGTTTTTCAGATATCGAAATAGACGTGGCGAAGACTAAATGTCTACCGTATGACTTATTTCAGTCTTGTATAAAATTCGTGTGTTTGTTTTTCTGTAAAATATGGTCATACCCTGAATGACATACGACATATTCATTTATAAAAACGATTACCGAAGTCATTAACTCATTTAATAATCAAGTCATTTAGAAATACATTCCATAAACTGTTTTGTTTCTTAGTTTGGAGTCGATGTAATGAAGAACAACCCTCGAGTCCTGCCACATTGGGGAAAGTATTTCGAACATATCCCTGGAATGTCTGATCAGATTAGACGTCAATTTGGAGATGATCTTCTGACCTTCATTAACATGCGCAACAAATATAAGCTGGATAACAAGAACCTGTTTGTCAACACTCACTTGAAGGATATTTTTAGAGATGCCCTATCTGAGACTTGTCCCGGATATAATCGTTTTACCATAAATATATAACATTTCAAAAACAATAATGTAACACCATCTGTTTCGACAGCTTTACCAACTTTAGGAAATTTTATTCCGTTAGATGTTAAACCCTAATGCCTTGGTCACATTTGCTCCGATTTTCACTACGTCGCCCGGGCGATTGAGTATTTGGTTCAAAATTGAATACAATACTGAACAAAACACTCAATCAAATGCAAATGTGACCCAGGCATAAGGGAGATACTTTGGCCAACAAGGGTGCAAACCTGAACCATTGACAATAGTATGTAAAAATTCTGTGTACCAACCCTGAGAAAGGAACAATAAACGACATTTTAGTTTTATTTATTTGTGCTTGGCTCGTTGGTAGGTACAACATCTATGCGATATCATAACGTTCAAAAAATGATCATTTTAATTATGTAACTATTTATTATAATTTCGCATGATTGTATATCTAATGTACATTTAAAATATTTTTGAAAAATACAAATGTTTCAATTGGCTGCTGTACATATGAATCTATAAATGCAGTCTATGGTAACACAACCAACCTATCATCTCGACTCTTCCTACCGGTCATGGGTGTATTCATCCGCCATTCATTAGTTCATTAAACCACACTTTTTGGCGTTTAACTGTATTTCATAAACCAAATAAAATCATCGTATACATGAATGATGACAAAGTACTTCAGCTTGAAGCGTACTTTAAATGAACAATGTAATCTCGTGTCGTAGTGTTACTGTCTTAAATTAGCTATCCAGTTATTTTGCATTATTTACGGTTTCTAATCATCGTCAAGTCCATTATGTATATGCACATGTACAAGTCCTGAATGAAGAAGATTCGTATCAATAATTTTCCTGTCAAAACCTCATCAAATCAATACGTGCCTGAATGATTACAAAGTCTTTGAGCATTAAACTCACGATCTTTAAAACAGTATTAAAATCATTCGCTAATTAACCCAATTAGTCATGAATGACACATAAAGGCGAAGGTCGCGCAAGGCTTTCACGAGAACACTACCACGGTCATGGCAGGATCTTTGCGCAACTTAAAAACAATCAATAACATTGTGACGGCTGTGCCAGGTATAAGTCTTGCAATAGACAGGGTCTCAGAATTACCGTATACACGCTTCATTCTACTTCATTTTAACAGATGTGTACAAGAACAATGTGAAACCCGATCATCAATGTGATGCTTAAGTTGCATTTTATTAACTAAACATGTCCTTTTATTCACAGACCACTACATCTTTATAAACCAACATAGGCATCTAAACAATACGAATCTACACTATTTCCTCCAAGAATTCCCGGCTCGTGTTTGAACTGATGGTCAAGTGCATCCTTTATTGGAAATGCATATGCCCTACTCTCATTGTCTTCGTCAGAACTGATATTGTCAAAGAATGTAAACATTCCTATTGCATCATAATTGTTTGAACCAACATTTTTCGCAACTATAATTGCCCCACTGTCTCCACTTTCTGCGAAATGCCCTTGAAAATTTATATCCAAATCTTTTGCAATCTCAATAACGCCATGGAGTGATGCAGTCTGTTCTTTTCCATATACATCGATGTAATCGATATCTACAGCGCAGCACTTGTCTGTAATTATCCCATATGTGCAACTTGTTTTGCAACCTGTTTTCTGCACTTTGATAAACTCGTCGGTTTTACCTTTTAGAGTGTTGTGCGACATCATTGCACATTGGCGGTACTGATTTCGATCGATAGAGTCTGGATGTATTTCTATGATTGCGATATCATATGTTTGACGTCGTTTCCTAGGTTTGTTTCCATGTCCTAGTCTTCCATCGACATCGACATATGTTCTCAATTTCCCAATAGGTTTCATGAGGACGTCATTGCTTTGAGTAACGCTACGACAAATATAAATATCATCATCTACTTTTGAAGTTGAGATAACATGTCGACAAGTCAATGCATATGTCCTTATATTCTGCTGTGTTGTGGTTACTTTGATAAGACCTCCTAAAGTTCCAGATGATGCCGACCCTACTCTGTGGATACCTGCCAACTTTTTATGTCCACGTCTTGTCTCCCTTGTTATGAAGTCAAATATGAATTTATGATTTGGAAAATCTCGCTCAATATCGGTTCGTAGGGATGTAATTGTAATGGCATCACGTTTTAAGTATATAGTATACCTCAAATCTTTGGGTTTCATACCATATCTGTGCACTCCTTCGAGCCTGAAAATTAAAAAAAACTATTAAAGAAACATGATTAAAAATGTGTCTCCGTATCGACTGTGTTGAATAGTTTATATTACAATTATTTTTGAATACTCATCTAACTCTACTTTTTTTATTCAGAGGGATATAGGAATGCACTTAAAACCGTTCGACTTACGATTTACCGGGCATCGATGATTTTTTGGAATGTATTTTGATAAAAACCCTTTGGACCATTTTTGACAACCATTGAAATAACAACGCAGATTCGGAATCCTAAGAAAATTACCAATTAGTCTGATAGGCAAACCTTGTTTTTGGACACAAATATCTTGAAAAGGGTCAGAGTAACCAAAAACAAGCTTTGTTTACAAAAAACATGATTAAAAAAGAGCGAGAAAAATTATTTTGGACAACTGAGAAAAGTGGTAAAATAGTAAAAACACACGATTTGACCTTGTTCTTAACCTTAGACTTTTATAAAAAAAGGAGTTCATTTGCCATCATCTCAGGCACGTTCCTTAACTAACCATCTAAGCAGCTTAAACTGAGGGCTTATAGTTGAGAAATCAGTTGTAGAACAAGAAAAAACAATTAAGAAATGTGGCAAACATTTCTAGAATGCAACAGTACATTGACCTGTTGCAAATCAAGGGTACATTTTCTACAGAGTATTGTGAAGAAAACGTGAAGAAAAACAATTGTTGCCAAAAGTAAATTGGAACATGCATATTGTTTTTTTAATAAAATAGTACCGTGGGTACTGGGCTATCATGGTGTTGCTCAAAAGTGAATGATGGCTAAAACGACAAAAAAACTTTCTAGATAGCCACCAGAATGCAAGATGGCTGCCGAAAAGTTAATCAGCTCTAGAACTTCTTACCATGTAACATGTGTGAAAATTTGAAGTAAATCCGTTTGGTTTTCCTGAAATCACGATTACAAGATTTATCCAAAAACTTCCAAGATGACTGCCAGATTGCAAGATGGCCACCGGAAAACAAATGACCTCTTGGACTTCTTACCATGTAACATGTGTGAATCTGTTCAGTGGTTTTCCTGGAATTACGATGAGAGAAAGTACTGGACAAAACTTCTTTTTTGAGGGACCAGATCATGGACTATTATTACAAGGTGGAAGATGGTGTAAATATTAAGCTTTTGATATGAAACTAAGATGTTAATCATGTATATTATATGTACATTTAAAATCATAAAATATTGCAGATTGTTAAATATTGGAGATTTCAGCAGGGGCCAAATTTGATCTAATCAAATTTAATTCCAGCTTATTTAATCAATGGATATTATATTGTTACAATAAAATATTATATTTAGGTGCATAAATTAATCATGAAAACTTGAAAATAAGTGGCCACAACATGTTGAAATTGGGGGTAGTGAGAATGTGTTTTCTCGGATCAAAAACTGATTAAGGTTCCTTTGAAATATGAGCTATGTATGTGGGTTTTGTCTATTCGTCTTTCTGATAATAATAAGCAAAATTCAATACTGATACAAAAGATTCATAACCTTTTCAAAAGAAATGTATCTTCAGTATTTCATATCATTTAAACAATAAACACCGCCACCATAGAGTGAGTAAATTAGAAAATTAAAAGCAGTCAGGAGAGTACCCTGTTGCATGCCTACATTCCTGAATTTAAACTTCAGGCATGTATACATTATGCATTATAAATGCATTAAAATTATAGGCATACATTATGAATAGCTGTGACGGAGAAGCAAAACATACAAGATGAGTCTTTTGATTAGGACAATATATTTGAAGCACACGTTTACCTCACTATCATAGGCTTTATAATTTGACAGGTGATTTCATTTGGCACTGTTAAGTTTCCCATCTACCACATACTTCCTCCCACAATGCAACGCGCCTTAAATCAAAATGGCCAAAATTTGAATAGATTTCGAGAGTCAAATATTACAGCAAATTGTTCCAGTTATAAAGCATCGTTTCGACTGATCGATCGCTCATTACATTAGAAAAAAGAATCTTCTTCACAGAAGAGAAGAAAAAAGGTAAGGAAACTGCCGATATTGTCAGAACTTGAATCTTCAAATCATGTGAAAAAAAACGCAAAGAATCAAAGCCTTAAATTTGTGGGGTTATTTTGAGAAACAAATGTCCTAATTATCAAAAAACTCAAAATAACCCCACATTTATGGGGGTAATTCAGAGCCTGATTTAACTTCTATTCGAATTTCAAGAACTGTCGTTTACGAAATTCTCTTGGTCACGTGACCGTAATGTAAGCAAATTTAACGATTAGTCAGGTAACATATAGGTTTCCCTAGTATATTCAAATTTCAGACTTACATGTAACTAGTTTCGGCAAAAGTAATTGATTGGTACAATCGCAAAATTAGCACTGAAAGCGGGGGACTTGTCCCTTGGTAAGTAGGAAGATGAATATGTGTTAAGGCTCAGCATGCATAAAAGTCCTGGGGGTCTTTATTGTGGTATATAAAGTGTTTCCTGGTCATCTCAACCCCAAGTCAATTTAACCAAGTAAAACTCAGCCCCAGTAAAACTCAACCCCAAGTCAACTCAACCCCTGTGAAACTTAATCCCAGTAAAACTCAACCACTGTGAAACTCAACCAAAAGTCAACTCAACCCCTGTAAAATTCAACCCCTATTTATTTTAGGATTGACAAAATGAATGGGTTTGAGTTTTACAAGGCTGAGTTGAACTTGGTTTGAGTTGTACGTGAAGTTGAGTTTCACTGGGGTTGAATTGACTGGGGTTGAGTTTTACTGGGTTGAGTTGACTTGTGACTGAGATGACCTGTCACCTCTATGTATATATATATATTGCCTCTTTAAATCGTGTTGTTGGGTAATATCACTAGCTTTACAATTAAAACCACTACAGTGTAGTCTTTGAGTTAAATAGAAGTTGACAAGGAAATTTGATCGCCATTTCATTACCACTTTTTAGTATCTCAGACCCGAATAATAAAACATACCTGTGTATTCTTTGTAGATCTGATATACTGATGTTACATACATCATTAGAACTGCTATCTTCACAGGCAGGGCAATATTCATCGGAGCTACTCGAAGAGGAAAGTCGGCTCCTATACGAATCTAGTTAAAATAGAGGTACATTTTTGACTTGTTTCATGTGTCCCGATCCATGTGTTCTAGATACACATGTATTCCTTAAAGTAGAAGCGCCATCTTTTTTACAACCTTCAGCTTATTTTTATTGAATATGCAAATATGTAAACACTGGTTATAGGCCATGGTATGACTCCGGAATATGAAGAATCTGTAACACAATATTTGGCTTATATTGTAGTTTTACCCAATGTTATCAATTGAAATGTTTAAATTACAAAAAGTCGTTTTTGATAGACTTTTTGTTCCAAAATTTGTGAATTTATTTAAAACTAACTTTTAGAGGTCACACCTTATTTGGCCATTATTCATACCAATGCATAGCATTCATCCTCGCATGTTTTTGCCGAAAAAATTCGGTTCATAAATAAACGAGAAATTAACTTATCAGTGCATGGAAAGGGTTCCGAGAAAAATGCATTTCAAAATTTTAGTTCTCATAGAAACCAATGGTACGGTGATATCTAAAACATAATATATTCTTCCTTTTAACCTAGTTAGACGATCAACATTGGTTTATTACTGAGGTCTAGCATATTTAGAAAATATTGAAATCGAAAAAGTTTTTGCCACCTTAGTGACATCACTAATGTTACAAAATATTTTTGATATGCTAAGACATTGAAGTGGCCCGTTAAATATGGTATTTTATTATTGAAATAGTGTGTCCTCTGTTCAATCATTGCATTGGTGTTAAAAAGATAATCTTTTTTGAAACGCATGAAGAAATATTTGATGATTAAAAAATGTCAACTTTTTTTGAAAAATGGCGGGAAATTTGATTATTTGAGAAATGAAATGCACATAACTTTTTTTTCAAGACAAATAGTAAATGAATGATAAAAAAAGTCGATATGTCTCAAATCTTTTAAAATGCCGTTTGCTGAGAAAACTTCGGGCCTTTGGGTCGAAATATGCTTCTCATTACAATGGGTCTAAAAAGTAAAAATGTAACTATTTTCATTCGAATATTTACATATTAAATAAGACTCGAGACGTTAATGTAAGCATTAGAGGTCGCAACGGTACTGGAAACCAGCACCGGTAACCGTCACGCTAATAACCGTACCGTTACCGAAATACCGGTAAAAATATGTAAGATAAAATGCCAATGCGCTGCACTTTGTTGCTAACTCTCTCCGTAGCTTCTCAAGTCTATATGCATACATGCTGCAAGACCGATTAGAACCTATACTTATGAACTTCACGAAATAGTATGTAACTATCTAACCCCCCTATCACACCAAACTAGTTCTTACCCGTTCTTGCCAGTCCTAGGAAAATGTCGTAAAACGGGCTCAATCTGGCTGCGGTCGGGATATATGTCTAAAATAATTAGCTACTTCGTTCATAAACAGTCTTCAATACGTCCATCTCATTCGCAGTTCGTTCAGGTCGCACCACGTCGGTGTGCAACGTAGTATAAACCGTCCCTTGTCTAGAAGGTCATGATGACCTGATTAACGAACGGTATGGTCGCCATCGAATTTTGAATCGATTCAAAATTCTAAATCACATACCCCATCCGGGAAAGTCCATGAAGTTCGTAAACAGACCGTAGAACGTTGTAGCTACGTTCATTCAGTTCGCACACAGTTTAAAACCGATTTGGCAACGTTTTGACGATCACAAGAAAATTTTGAGCATGCTCTAAGTGCTGGAGGACCTACTCGTTCTAGTAGTTTCATGAAGTTTGTAAACAGATCCCAAACGGTTCTTAGTGGGTTCTTAGTACGTCAAATCCGTTCGTGCACAGTTTACGGCCGTTTTCGAGAACGTAGTGAGAACTAGTTTGGTGTGATAGTAGGGTTACGAATCAAGATGTATTTTTAGTTTTAAATTAAATGTATCACACATTTCAAACCATTTCGCAACTGTATCAATAGCAAGCGACGTGCATTATACATGGTTAAGCTATTATTACCGGGTAGGTAAATTAGATTTTATTAACTGTCTTGAGTTCTGGAAAGTAAACGGAGGAAAATATCCTGATGTGGCGAGTTTGGCTGAAACATATCATGCTATTCACTCGTCATTCGTGTCAAGTGAGCGGCAGTTCAGTGCAACTGGCAACACCATCACTTCCAAACGGGCACGACTTCAACCTGGGGTTGTCAATGCCTTGTTGTTCGTAAATGACTATGACAAACATATAATTCAGTTTCTGGATCTGAAGTTGACACTACAACTACACCGGAACTGCCAAACATAACTACAACCAAATATGAGCCTGAGCATGAAGCTACTACACCCGAACTGCCAAACATGGACATCACACCCGAACTGCCAACATGGAAATCACACCTGAACTGCCAAACATGGACATCTTAATGTCTATGTGAATGTACGCATCGTGAAAGTTGAAATTAAATGAAATAATTAAAAAAACGACGTGTCTTTTATTTCCCCGGGGATTTTCGTCGGTTAACCGGTTAATAATTCCAATACCGGTAAATGCTTAATTCCGTACCGAAACCGTATAACCGGAATTACCGTCAGCCTCTAGTAAGCATATTTACAATAAATTGGATTATCATTATGTCAAAATTGATTCTAATTTCAATGTAATTTCTACTGGTTAATTAGTGTTATTATATAAATTAGCTTATTTTATTTTGTTTATTTATAATTTCAAATATATTAGGTTTTTCCTATTTCAAATTTTTATTAAAGAAGCTATTGCTATCATCGCCAGGATTCAAACAGGAAATGATAATGATAAAAATAGGCTGAAGGTTGTAAAAAAGATGCGCTTCTACTTTAGGGAATACGTGTGTATCTAGAATATATGGATCGGGACACATGAAGAAATAATAAAACATGACAAATATGTAAAATATATATCTATTTTAATGTTATAGAGGTATTAGAACGTTTATGGGAAATTACCGATAATTGATATTTTCAAAATCAGTTGTTTTACTGAAGCCTGTGCTGTGTGTGTTGATACCAGCTACATTTAATGTGCGCTATTTTAAAGTCATCACAACTAGTTATCATAATCATGCGATGTATACTGAAAATATTGCTAATTATTTCTCAAAAGGATGTGTGTTACCCATGCAATGAAATTCTTTTTTATGCATGTACCATTTGTCTAATATTTTGTATCCTCCAACACACTGTTTGAATTAACATTGCTGATGCATCATTTGTTTGAGATTTCGCCAGAAAGTGCCCTTCAGGGTTACCTCTTAAATGACAGACAATGAAAGCATTAGACAAAATATTGTTATTTTTGTGGTGGATTTAGGTTTTGCTGTCCAATATTTTGCATCCTCCAAACATTAAGATTTAATGAATGCACGTAAATAATTTCAAACAATTATTTTCAGAAATTAGACTTATCCAATGTAGTATTTAAATTATTGTTATATAAATTCTCAATTAATTCGAATTTTTTAGTAAATTGAATATGTTGAGTATGTGTTGGAGGATACAAAACATATGGATATTATAAAACGTGTTGGTTTTTAATGAGTACGACATATCAAACAACCCCTTTTGAGAGATGGTGGTAAACATATTTTATCACCCAGTTGGAAATCATCAACGGACTCGATGCTTAATCTATTATGTTGTCCGAGTTTCCATAGCCAAATTTGATTTTTGTCCAAAAAATCACCATTAAAGCTGTTTTTAAGAAATAAAAAGCAATATTTTCAATAAACGTATATTGCATGGTCATGGTAAACAGTTGTGTTGACAACACAATAGCACATATACAGTGTCGTTGATCTCAATACACATGGCGCAGAATTTTCGCATTAAATTGTTGTCAATCAGCCAACATTACATAAAATACCGTGTTTTTACAGAATGTTTTCAATGATCGGTTTAAGAGAAAAACATTGCTGAATTCAGTTCTCCATATCGATACTCTTCTTTTCAATATCGATTCATTTATCTGCTCCAGCAATATGACTAATGCGCACCTATAGTACATTTTTAATTTTGGAACTTTATGGGGTAAAGTGAACTTAGAACCTCAGTAAGTATGGAATACATCTGTTATGTACGGTCGGTTTTGGATACAGAGATTATCCCTCGGAAAATATATGTATCTAAAAACCCAGTATCCAAAAACCTCCCAGTACATATCCCTTAATTACTCTGAAGGGAAATTCTTTACCTTTATTTTGAACATCAAGAGTGTTTTGATCATCTAGTGCAGAAGACGAGGAGGATGGTTCTGGGTCCATGCATTTTGTACGTCTCTTCTTGGAAGGTAATGCTATTTCTGAGGAAGATGTTCTTTTCCTAAAACGGTATTATAAGTGATAATATGTTTCTGGATTTTTATACTGATATGAAACGGTATGTACACGCAGCTATGAGCTGCAGAAAATATAGACTGAGGCTGCATTGCATCGACCAACAACTCGTTGGTATATATTCATTGAATCTAATTTTTCTCATAATCCAAGCTACATTATAGTCTGATCATTCTCACCACAAAACATATTGACAATTGGTCCAGTTTACTCATAGTCGTTAAATTGACATTAAATGCATATTTAAAAAACCTGATATTGTCAGTTTCCTCGACAGACGTTGAGAGCACCATCTGGGGTTCTTGTGTTAAAACATTGAGAGAATCGGCTGTCATGGCTGTCACTTCGAAATCATCGAGCACCGTGCCTATGAACCGAAAAATAAGTCCAATAAAATAAGCGTTTATATCTTTAATATGCACTGAATATTTGGAGATGACTGATACATGATGACTGATACATGTGTTTTAATAAAGCGTTTTCTTTCAAGTGAGGCAAATCGGAGTGAAACAATCCGATGCATTGAAGAATGCTATCTACTTGCTCATATTTCTACTTACAGCTTCCAGTTGGTTTTACATCAAACGTTGGTCCTGTGGTATTTGTTTCATGCACTTCCATTGGATCTGTGGAATAACGATAATAGGGACTTAGCTATAATGATGATATGTGTCATTCTGAAGGCAAATCATATGATTTTCTTTGTATCAAAACACATTTGGATTGCAATTGTCACGTGGGATTGTGTCAGTGACTGTCATTAATTCAATAAAACATAATTACAATATCTGAGTGAAGTTATGTATTATTTTTATTTTAAGTATTATCAATGTTCTTTTTACCTCGTTCGACGTCGCAAAACTTTGATTGGCTTTCGTCGTCGTCTTCGAAATGTTTGTCTTCCCCAGTGTTTCCGTCTTCTGAAGCAGTGTCATCGTAATGCTGTTCCCTAGTAAATATATCATAAAGTGTTCGTTTTACCTTTAAAATGTTAAAGATGCTCATTGAAATCTACTGCTAATATATAATTTACCGAGCTTAAGAAGACTGAATAAATTAGATAAGCTTATGGTTTAACTTTCTTGAGCTAATATCAGTTTTCCTTTTGTCAAAATTCCAAGGACATGCATGTATGTCTATGTAACTTTCGATCATTGTTTGAAATCAAATATTGATAGACTTGAACCGGGTACCCGAGACATCTATCAATATAACCTAAATAAGTGTATCAATCTCCGTGAATTGTACGGTCAATCTATGTGAACAGATTCTTCGATTCCTTTAGATTCCGACAGTAGTAATTCAAATCGTAGTAATGATGGGGTTAGTACATACTAGAGTGATATAGTCACTGTGTGAGAAGGTCTTAAGTTAAGTAGGGGGGGGGGTGTCACAAGGGGCATGTAGCTAGACTAAGGGCTATAATAGTAGCATACGAAATGATTTGTTATTACTGTACCTCATAGATAACTGGTTATGATGTTTTGGTGATACGTTTGCAATTTTGTCTTCGCCATTATGATCATTTTTAAAACTGTGTACCATACTCTCGTCATTTAGGACACCGCTTGTTATTGTTGTTTCGCCAGTAGTGGCACTTTCGAATGTATATTGATCATCTTCGTCTGCTTTACCAGGTCTACCGTGAGTGTTTCTATTGACTTGCAGTACACGATTTATAACTAAAAATAATATATTAAATTTAGCATAACATCATTCGTATACATTTTATGCCTGATGCAATAAGAAAAATCACCCTCGATTTTCAGGGGCAGTTCCTAAATTCACTGAATACTCGTAGCAAGTCTACAAACTACATTCGTTTCACTAGGTTTACCATATTCTCTAACATTTTAAAAGGGAGGTGTTTGACGTCTTGAATTGTTACTTACAAATCAAATTCGAACGAATTCACATTTTATTTAATATACATAATGTAGCTCATTCTAGCTATGCGTTACGATTTACCATTTTTGCTTCATACGTAAACCCACGAACCTTCTCGTTCATCATTTCTCTTCAGTGTATCTAAGATTGAGCTCATTGTTCCCATTTCTTCATTATAAAACATAAACGCTTCTTCATCAGTACGCAGTCGACCACTTTTTATGGACTCTTCGATTGTGGATGCGTAACCTCGCTTATTTGAAGCAAACGCATCGAAGACCGCTTGACGCGCTACTTGACGTAATGTTGATTTGGATTTCATCCTCGGTTGCTCAAGATTGTGTATTGCCTCATGTTTTTGTTCAGCTGTTGCGTTCGGATACATCGACATCAGATGCTGATAGTTTCGATCTTCAGCACCAAATATAGTGAGTAGACAATACAAATGTATTGCATTTGAGGAAGAACGCTTGATCGAGGTTAATGGGGAATTCCCGAACTTATCCTTAACATTGACATCTGCTCTATGACCAATAATGAACCGAGCGATAGGTGGTGAGTCTTGTTCAACAGCTAGTATCAGCGGGGTCTTTCCATTATTATTCCTGGCATTGATGTTATGACCTTCCTTTATTAAACACCAGGCATATTTCAGGTCATTTTGCATAATGGCATCTAATAAAGCAGTCTTTCTTTTCATTTCATCCAATATTGTCAAAACCTCTTTGATATCAGCTTTATACATTATAAATTCTTTTTGATCAGAAGGAATTTGACCATTGTCGATCAGGAACTGGATTGTGGACACGTACCCTTGTTTATTTGATGCAAATGTCATGTAGAGAACGTGTCTTGCTAAATACTTCAAAGATAATCTGGACTGTTCATTCCATCTATCAAGTTTCATTCTAGTTTCATGTTGTTGGTCATTTGTTGCGTTTTCGTTCAATGACATTAGATGTTGGTAATTGTCATCTTTTGCACCCCTTGTGTAAAGCAGGGAATATATTTTCAGCCCTTTTGGTGATGATATATTTATAGAGGTGAGAGGGGACTTTTCCCGTGTATCAAGAGTTTTTATATTTGCACCATGGTCCAATAGAGCTTCAACATACTCTGGTTGTTCTCTTTCAGCAGCAATAATCAATGCAGTGTCCCCAGCGTTATTCTTCGCATTGACATCTGCACCATGTTCTAGAAGAAGACGAAGAAAAGGATCATCATTGTCATTCCTAGCAGCAATAATCAATGCAGTGTTCCCATTGCCATCCTTAGAATTGACATCTGCGCCATGTTCCAGAAGTAGACGAAGACGAGTATCATCTTTGTCATTCCTAGCAGCAATAATCAATGCTGTGTTCCCATCGTTATTCTGATCATTGACATCTGCGCCATGTTCCAGAAGTAGACGAAGAGGAGTATCATCTTTGTCATTCAACGCAGCAATAATCAATGCAGTGTCCCCATTGCCATCCTTAGCATTGACATCTGCGCCATGTTCCAGAAGTAGACGAAGACGAGTATCATCTTTGTGATACTTAGCAGCAATAAACAATGCAGTGTTCCCATTGCCATCCTTTGCATTGACATCTGCGCCATGTTCCAGAAGTAGACGAAGAGGAGTATCATCTTTGACATTCAACGCAGCAATAATCAATGCAGTGTCCCCATTGCCATCCTTAGCATTGACATCTGCGCCATGTTCCAGAAGTAGACGAAGACGAGTATCATCTTTGTGATACTTAGCAGCAATAAACAATGCAGTGTTCCCATTGCCATCCTTAGCATTGACATCTGCGCCCTGTTCCAGAAGTAGACGAAAGCGAGTATCATCTTTCTCATTCCGCGCAGCAATAATCAATGCAGTGTTCCCATAGTTATTCTGAGCATTGACATCTGCACCATGTTCCAGAAGTAGACGAAGACGAGTAACATCTTTGTCATACCTAGCAGCAATAATCAATGCAGTGTCCCCATCGTCATCCTTTGCATTGACATCTGCGCCATGTTCCAGAAGTAGACGAAAGCGAGTATCATCTTTCTCATTCCGCGCAGCAATAATCAATGCAGTGTTCCCATAGTTATTCTGAGCATTGACATCTGCACCATGTTCCAGAAGTAGACGAAGACGAGTAACATCTTTGTCATACCTAGCAGCAATAAACAATGCAGTGTTCCCATTGCCATCCTTTGCATTGATATCTGCGCCATGTTCCAGAAGTAGACGAAGACGAGCATCATCTTTGTCATTCCGAGCAGCAATAATCAATGCAGTGTCCCCATCGTCATCCTTTGCATTGATATCTGCGCCATGTTCTAGAAGTAGACGAAGACGAGTACCATCTTTGTCCTTCCTAGCAGCAATTATCAATGCAGTGTTCCCATTGCCATCCTTTGCATTGATATCTGCGCCATGTTCTAGAAGTAGACGAAGACGAGTATCATCTTTGTCATTCCAAGCAGCAATAATAAATGCAGTGTTCCCATTGCCATCCTTTGCATTGACGTCTGCGCCATGTTCCAGAAGTAGACGAAGACGAGCATCATCTTTGTCATTAAACGCAGCAATAAGTAATGCAATGTTCCCTATGTCATCTTCAGTATTGACATGTGCGCCATGTTCAAAAGCTATGGCAAGATTAGTACCTTCTTTGTCAGCCATCGCAGCAAATACATCATTGCAGTGTCTCCATCGTTTGCCTTCTTTTGTTGGGGAAAATCTGACACCAATCATTCAAGTCCACCATCTCGACCCTCTACCTTCCTTTTCAGAACTGTGGTGTAATTTTACTTTATACACGTATATTTGATTTGAAAGTAGGACAAATTGTTATCTTAAGGGTTGTTTAAGTAATTCTTATCTATGTTCTTAACATTTAACTTTTATTCTTTGCATTTGACAACATAAAAGGTCGATTCAAAGATTATGCGAACGACTTCAATATATGCTATGTTTATCAAAACACATTTTGCTATATTAATGAAATATATAGCTACCTTAGGAGCTACTGCAATATGCATCGAATTACTTTTTAATTAGTTACCATTAAAAGTACGAAAATTGTGCCGTAACGTATGTGCTGAGACTTAAAAATGAATCCTTCAAATTATATTTTTATTTCAGTTATATGGAGATCATAAGTCGAGGTCATGCGTTAAATTAACAGTCAATGTACAGTGGTCTGGCGATATGATTTCTTGTAATTTTAGTGTTACTCGGTTATAGAGACAAATCAAAATTCAAAATTTGACAGATCTGAATTCGAAATATTCCAGAAAATAAGTCAGTATAACCCACCTTTAAAAATAAAACAACACGCATTGACTAGCTATTTCAAATCAACAATACTATAAGTTATTGAATGATTTGAAGCTGCAATACAGGATATATTATGTTTGTGAAATTTTGTATTGGAACGAGACGAAGTCGAGTGCCAAGACAGAATATCGAGACAGAATATCACATCATTTTGAGTGATATCATTTATATCGCCGAGTTGATATCAAATATCAACACGAGTGAGCGAAGCGAATGAGTGTTGATATTTGATATCTACGAGGCGATAAAATGATATCACGAGAAATTATGTGATATTGGGTTTATCCCATGATTACAATCACCTTGTGATGTTCTGACCCAATTTCCAGGACATTGGCAGACAATATAAACTAGAAATTAGAATATCAATTGAATGTTTGAAACACTTTATTTTATCAATTTAAAGTAAATAAAATGAACATGTAAACATTGTTTCGTCCCCTTTATGTCAGCTTTATAACAGTATATGTGACTATGACGAGTCACTGCTCACTACTAGCCTCCCCCTGCCGAGAGGTCTTATTATATGAATGTGATTGAACTGGTGGGACCATAATATTAAAAGTTCCTCCAGAAATGTTGGCATTCTGGAATAGTGATCCTAAATTAACGGACCTTTTTTCTCAAAAGATAATAAATTATCTGACCTAATTTCCAACAATATTGTGGCGCGAAATGCAAATGTGATATCACACGGATATGCGTGAGATAAACGATATCACACGCATATGAGTTTGATAAACGATTTCTGGAAAATAGCACACGGATTTCAATAATATCAGAAATATCAATAGCAGTTATTGTACAGATAACACATTAATCGTGGGATTTATCAGGATATATTCTGTCTCGATATTCTGTATTCTCGATATTCTGTATTCACAAGATAAAAACGTTATTGAATGATTTGAAGTGCAATACACCTGTATTGCACTTCAAATCATTCAATAACGTTTTTATCGTGTGATTCTCTGTATTGCTACTGAGAGTGTCCCCTCCGTACCAATATTTTCTGTATTGCGACGGAGATGATCAACCGGGACAACCTCAGTAGCAATACAGATTGGTACAGCACAAGAACTGATCAATCAGAGGGGTTCATTTTACAGATCATACGATAACGATTTGTACAGCACAAGAATTGACCAATCAGAGAGCTTCATTTCACAAATCATAAGATAAAATACTTTATTCCATAGTTAGCATGATATTCATAGGATAACATGTGAAAATAAAAACGGTATTTTTGTAATCAGTGGTAAAATATGATATTTTTGACAAATTTTCACTTAACCATAGCATACGGTTTTTAGCCATGACATGCGGTGCCCTATGCGATGGTTTATGGATTTTTGCTTCTTCAGACTCAAAACGAGGCTTAGTGTCAACATCACCGGATCGTTTGAAAAATTCGAATTAAATGACTTAATTTTCGACGATTCTGATGATGACTTTAACTATGGAATAAAAAGATCATCCTATGATTTACTCGTGATATGATTTTAATCCACTCATTGATATTAATATCTGCACTCTCTCGCTACGCTCGCTCGTGCAGATATCATATCCATTCGTGGATAAAAATCATATCACTCATAAATCATAGGATATCCTCTATTTATTCCATAATAATATGTTTTCCCCGGGAAAATAAAATTGATATTCAAAAAAAAATCAGCAAAAATCCCGCATCAGAACTATTCCCGGTAATTACTTTAGTGTTATTAATCATTTATATTTTTAATTAAAACTTGTTAATAAAAGTTGCAAATGCTATATAACAAATTGTGTTTTATGTTACAATCATTGAGTGATGACATACAAAAATTGAAAATAAATACGTTTTAGAAAATTATTATAGAATAAATAGGTTATTGGTGGTCGTGATGAAATATGAATTTTTATGTATGTACTTTTGCTTTCAAAAACATATTCATTTTATCTGTATCAAAAATGTAAAACTATGAGATCATATGCAATACGTGAATCGCTATTGTAAATTGTAGCTGTGTCTGAACAATATATTGGTGTATTCATCGTTAATAATTCACTCCCATTACTGTACTAAAGTTGTCATCAAATATTAAAGCAATCTAAAAAGAGCGAAGTTCAGTATAATGACAGTTTAATGACTATTTGAAAAATATCACGTATATAGTTTATGTGCCAGGCCTTTAAGTAGGTAACTTATGAGGGTTGTAATTTGTTTGAAGAACACTTTTACAACGGTTCAATATGAATATAGAACAGGGTGTAATGTTCAATTATGAACATTAGAACATTAAATTTTTTGTGTCTCATTACTCCTTCTTAAACTTTTCTTCTTAAAGGGTGACGCATATCGTTTAGCAAATCGAACGCTCGTTTCTGGTGTTGCTCACCATTTAGTATAAAAGGCTCGATCCCGGAATAATAGTACAATAACGTCATTTCTAAGGGCGATATAGTGAAATATTTGACCAAGGGCCAAAGGCCCAAGGTCCAATATTTCACTATATCGCTCGCAGAAATGACGTTATTAGTATTATTACCACCGTTAACGACCAGGACTGAAACAGCAAGAAAATCTTACGCATTGAACGATATCTAATTTCCCGGGGAAAATTGCCGGTCCAGAATATATTCTAGACCGGTCCATATGGACCACCACTATGACGTCACACATTTCTCAGGTCGATATAGTAAAATAAACGCCTCCTAAACTTGCACTAAAACCCCTAGAACTGGCCCGGCAAGGTGGTAATAATACTCAAGGGTTCAAAGGCTCGACGTCGTTGTGTCAACACCTCTAACTTTTATATAACATTGGTACAGTATAGATCGTCACACATTTATAAAAGAGAGATTTTCATTTTATACGGGAAGCTTGTCGGAACCCTTTAAATCCCTAAAGTTCATATTTCATTTCGAGACATGTAGATAGCCTACATCTCAACTCATCTTTATTCTTACATATTGTGTTCAACAACATTTTGAGGTTTAAGATAACGTTACGTCTAAAGTGCTTAGTTTAAAGGTTCATAGTACGTAAACGGGAACGTAAAGGTTTGCGTTTGTGGTTCACGTCATAAAAAGTCGTCTTGCTTAACCTCACTATTATTTATAATTGACCTTCAATGTGACTGTATAAAACAGACTGTAAGGTGCTGTCCTCTGTAAATAGAGATAACAACGTTTTTTCATGGTTATTGGATAATAAAAATTGAAATAGAATGATGAATTGAACTCTGGAGTTAGATATACTTTGGAGGAAGATATACTTTATAGTAGGAACGAAGGATCCCAATGCAACCGAGAGATATAATTTTTTTTATTTTGATTTTGAACTTTTCAAATAATGTTGACCCCCCCCCCCCCCACTAGGACACACCCCTATTAGAGGATTTTTCTTTATTTCTTCAGGATCATTTATATTTTTTGTAAATGACGAACAGAGAAATAACATTAATTAATCATTTTAAGAAATATTCATGCAGATAGCTCTTATGAAACGTGAATAATAGCAAAAAGTGGGTACCTCAGGGGGCAAAATTATGAGCTGTTTTCATACAATTTTTAATGTATAGTTTTAGAAGGCAATCCCAGGTGGAGATAAAATTTTATAAAGAGCTTGGGAGTGGACCTAGTGATCGTGAAAAAATTGAAGTCTTTGCTTCCCTAGTGACCGAGAAAAAAATTATGCATTTTTCAAAAATTGATATTTAAGACAGACGCTATTTTAATTTTGTATGTGTTCACAGAATTGATTTAAAAGTCAATCAGAGGTCCGAAAAGACGATTATTTGTGTCCTCGTCTGTGTAATTTAGATTATAATCAAGAGCTGCATCTGCGTATTTCTTCTGAGAAATCTTCCCATCATGGTCAGTATCCATGTAGTCAAACTGTAGCCTTGCTAGACCTGGATCAAGGTCTATAGCCTTCCACCAGTGCATGTACTCGGAGACACTAATGAAACCATCAGAATTGAAATCGAGACTATACAATTAAAGATTATGATATAATGATCAGATGCTTTTTACCACAAAGTCTTATGAATGAAGATTCTTAATGTTTTCGTACTTATTTGGAAGCATAAACTAAATATTTTTCGTTCTTTATTTTCCAAAAACTAATACAATGGAACTTTTTGTGTTATCAATTGGACAATTTCGATCACTCGATCTCTTCCCTATATCCTAGAAAAAATAATAATCCTACAAAAGAAAAAATTTCCGTCAAACAATCCCAATTGTACATGTCATCTTAAATTCTTTTTAAATCAACGTTTACCTCAAACATTTTGACATGGAATTTTTCCAAATTCTTTTTATTTTTTTGACTTTTTACAGCTGTCCAAGAGTCAACAACTTGTTCATGCCATGGTTTTGACCAGTAACCAGGTAGCACATCTCCCATGCCAGAATAAAAATCTCTGATGAATTGTACAACTTTACTCGATGCAGGGTCTTTCAGATTTGCTGAAATGGCAATACATTCCCAGATATAACGAACTATATTCCAAGGAGGTACTATTCACACATTCAGCGTTGACCAAATTTTGTAGAGCGTCATTTAGTGCCCCGCATAAGTGTTTGTTGTAACTGTAGAAATGTATCCAAAATGTGGTTGCTCGTGAGATGCATTCTTTAACTGACTTTGTACAATTTTACGATATTTATTTTATGTTATCTTATTTCTCGATTTATTTTATTCAGAGACTTAAGTTATAATGAAAAAGGAGTTTGTTGAAATATTTGAATTTCCCGAAATTTACCATTGTATTTATATATACTATAACCAAATTGATAATCTAAACAAGGTTCGGTAGAGATAGAGACACGCATGACCCCGTTTTGTACAAGCTTTCGGAGATAACCTTATTGCATTTAGTTGCCGATGTTCACATGTGAGAAAAAGTACTTTTTCTTAAGTATTCATTTAAGAGATTTGTGTTACTCATATATGGGCCCACGTAAGCATTGATTCTCGATTTGATAACGCAAAGCAAAGTAGCTTATCATCAGAAAAAAGCATTCTGCATTGCCCTAATCTTCCCGTCCTAAATTATGAAAAAAGTGTCCTGCTTTGCCCTAATCTTCCCGTCCTAAATTATGAAAAAAGTGTCCTGCATTGCCCTAATCTTCCCGTCCTAAATTATGAAAAAGTGTCCTGCTTTGCCCAAATCTTCCCATCCTAAATTATGAAAAAGTGTCCTGCTTTGCCCTAATCTTCCCGTCCTAAATTATGAAAAAGTGTCCTGCTTTGCCCTAATCTCACCGTCCTACATTATGAAAAAGTGTCCTGCTTTGCCCAAATCTTCCCGTCCTAAATTATGAAAAAAGTGTCCTGCTTTGCCCTAATCTTCCCGTCCTAAATTATGAAAAAGTGTCCTGCTTTGCCCAAATCTTCCCGTCCTAAATTATGAAAAGTGTCCTGCTTTGCCCAAATCTTCCCGTCCTAAATTATGAAAAAAGTGTCCTGCTTTGCCCAAATCTTCCCGTCCTAAATTATGAAAAGTGTCCTGCTTTGCCCTAATCTTCCCGTCCTAAATTATGAAATAACGAATAAAAAATGCGCGCTGCTTCCGTTGCATCATAGTCGACTCAGTAATGTATTTGCACTTGTATTCATCAAATTATTCTTTATCAAAAATTATCCTGATTCTATTACAAATGGTGGTGTGTGCCTACCTGATTTTATAATGCGATCCGCTATTTTCATGACGTCTTCATATGTCTCCACTCCATCTTTGTCAATGTCAAACGCAAAAACAATTGTTATTATCTTCCTAGCCCAGATGCGTGGAATGTCTTTAATCTGAACAGAATTACTTTCTTTAAAATGTGAAAATATTAAATTATGGTTCCAATTAATCTGTTCTCCACATTGGTGAGCTAAATTGTTCAAAGGGCATTGGATAGATGACTTTCGCCCAAAACAATTAGGACTTGAAATATTTGAAGCCTTTCCTGAAAAAAATCGAGCAGCACTATGAATTTTAGCTTACCTGGTGTCTTTTGGAGTCCATAGTCACAGTCGCATAATGTTGCAGTCTATTCAATAACTTATACACTGGTTAAAGTTAAATGGTTTGTGTTTTCTTTACGCAGGGCACAGGATGGGAAGAAAGTTTTTTTGCATGGTGGTGTCCTATATGTAGTACTGAAAATGATTCATAAAAACAAATTAATCAATAATTACTTTTTAACACTATTACAGTACGGATAGAGATGTAATAAAGTGGCAGAAAAAAAATATTTACCTTATACTTAAAAAACAACTGCAAAGCTGGTGTTTTGACCCAGAATGAAACTGTCGACCCCAGAAATGTTGCTAATTTCTACCTTACATCTAACGGTGATGTGACACTGTAATTATCTTATGAGGCGTCAAAAGAATTAAAAAGAGCACGTAAGATATGGCAAGCCATTTTCAAAGGGCTATATCTTTAGTTCGAAGAATAATTTAACCACAAAACCAAATGGTTCTGTTAGATCCATGTCTTATCTTCAATAAATGACATTAGGATGATAATCAAGTTGATTGGATTATCTCTTAAGCTGTCCCTAATCCACCCATCCTCACCAATTTTCCCTAATTCAGATGCAATTTTCACCAAAAATGCAGGCCTTTTTAATAATTTCTAGTGCAAAGTTATATTGAACTTTCAGACATGATTTAAACTGTAAAGGGGAAAAGCTTTTTGGTATTTTTTGTGATTTTTTTCGTATTTTTCTGATATTTTAAAGTGCTTCATATTAATATTATACAATAACAAAATAGAGGGCAGCTAAGTGTCATAAATAATTTGTTTGTTACACTGTTTCAAACACTCGGATAGTGATCAGCGTTGTGGATTATAATCCTGTATTTTACCTTGTATTGTTTGTGTATAAAACAGTTGTGTCATTCACGTAGAGCTATTTATATACTGAATAGTTCTTTGTAATTACATGTGCCTGGTTTTGGCTATTCAACCTAGATTCTTTGTTTGGGCAGGCTGAAATGAATAAGTGTGAAAATAAAATGAATTACAGGGTGAGGCACAAATGTCATCCAAAGAAATGTTATTAACTCATTTATCCAGTATGAGTTGAAATCATATTTAGTTAATTTTACCATGTGAAATCTTTTTGCATTTTACCATGTTTCATGGGTCCGTTCCTCAAGGTCACAATTCTATGGCCATTCTACAAATTTCAGCCTCGTCCCTTCAGGCAGACCTGCACTGGTCGGTTGAGGTTGTAAGTTCACCGTCACAGAAATTGTTCTCCTACTTGTTGTAGGGGTTGACATTATCTCAGAGATAGCCCGTAGTCATGAGATGAGGCTGGCATTTTGGACCATGTTTCGTTTTATAGCCATAAAATACCGACTATTTGGGCAGGGCCAATTAAACTTAGTAAAATGAAAGAACATTAAACAAGGTTTTATTATGCGAAATAACATTTTAACAGATGCGGAATTTGTTTGGGCTACATTTTTGGCTCACTCGGTATTAGACTGCACTTTGATAGTATTCATGATGTCATATGTTGGGTAAAAGGCGATGATTTAACCTACTTTTGATGGCAAATTCATTTTTATATGAATGAAATACTGGCAGGTACTATTTATATTTAATGAGCCATGAAATAGTAGGTTGATCTGGCAGTTGTTAGTTGAATTCGCGAATACTACTTGTAATGGGGTTTCAAAGCCCGTGGTCACCTATGTAGAATTGAACTCTTCAAAGGGTGTATCATGCCCCAAGTACGCGGGTACGTGGGTACGAGGTATAAGGTTTTTCATACAAAGCCCAAAGTATTGACTGAGAATATAGAGTGATCGAGTGACAATATCATAATTACACAAGGCCATATACCTATTGTCAAAGGGTAAAACCCAACACATTAAACTGTTTATTCCATAAAAATCCCAATCAGCAAAAACAATCCAATGAAATTTGAAATGAACAAAAAATGCAACAAATGTTTGGCCAAACCATTGGAGAAAATTATTATTTGCATGTACTCTGTATACAGTGGTACCTGTATCAATACCTTCTACATATAACACTATTCGAAAGATCATTTACAGCAAACCCCTTTACAGAAGGCACTTTCGAAACACCCTATATGATTGATGATAAAGAAAGATACACATGGGAAGAGTTAATTCAAATAAGATGGTATTGAATCATGTTTGTTGAAACATCGCAAATGTGTAATATTTCAAATATTCATTTACACTATATAATTCAAATATATACTAGGTGTTAAACACATTTATGTTTTACTGTACATACTTTACACGACACAGTCATGTTGACATATCCATGCTTATTTCTATAATACGCAATTAGGCAAAAATGAATACACAGGGTATTTCGCACTCACCCATGTAGAATATATCATGCCATCTATGGAACATATATAACTCTATCTATAAACATCATTGCATAGAATAGGGTACATCTAAATGTCGCTCTAAGTGACATCTTTTCATACACTTCACACTAAGGTCATGGCCTATGAGGTAAAAATGACAAATGGATTATCAGATAATGCTTATCTCATTTAGATCGTTTTTGTTCTTTTTGGAAATCAATCATGTGACATAGCTCAATGTTTTCGTGCATTAATCTCATTAAAAATTGCTACTTTTAGGTCAAAAGTTCGGCCTAAATAAGTTATTGTTTTTGGATTATCCTAATCCCAAAGTAATCAAGTTTTCCTTTTTAGAGGTAGATCATTCCTTACAATAAATTGTAATTTTGCCATAAAAGCTGAAATAAAATGCTGCATTTTTGGTGAAAATTGCGTCCGAATTAGGGAAAATTGGTGAAGATGGTTAGATTAGGAACAGCTTAAGAGATAATCCATTCAACTTGATTATCATCCTACTGTCATTTATTGAAGACAAGACATGGATCTAACAGAACCATTTGTTTTTGTAGTTAAAGTATTTTTAGAACTAAAGATATAGCTCTTTGAAAATGGCTTGCCATATCTTACGTGCTCCTTTCCGCAAAATACGATTTTGTAAAAAAAAACTTAATGGTTAATGAATGGCAAACTAAGGTAATACAAGATTTAAAAAAATACAAATTAGTTTCACATTTGCACAAAATTACTCATTATACACTAAATTGATTGAAATACCTGTCTAGTAATAGATGGATAGATTTAACTTTATTAGGCAACAGTTTCAGCATTACACCAAATTAATGGTTGGTGTATCTCCCTTCGCCATGTTAACAGCAGCTATTCTTTTCAGATGGGACCTTAAATACACTTCAAATAGGGATGTGGACTTTTGTAATCCTCATGAAACCTTTTAAAGGCATTTTAGAAAAGTTTCCTCAGAGTATCTGCCAGCCTTTTTTCTAACTTAATATCCATCCTATCTTTGACGATGACACCCATATTTTTGGTCACATTCAGGTTAGGGCTATTTCCAGGATACTGAACTGAACTTCAATTTTGGCCATGGTATTTGGCAAATCACTGTAACTTTGGATAAGCTTTAAAATTATAAATGACAAATACTACGGAGACTTTGGTATGTGTCTGCCTAGGTGGTTCCATACTTTCGGCACACCCTGTGTTAGACTAAAAATGTTAAACTAATGTTCATATTTGTTAACCTTACAACATAACAAAGACACGTTAAAATGTTTAGATGTTTAAATCCTAAATAAAAACACAATGCGTTGCTGTGATATTTTAATTATATATCTCTTGAAAGTGTTGGTGATGCATCATCGTAAAGTGTTAGCTAACCGATGCTTAAGTACCATCGCATAGCGTTTGTGATTTCAGTCTTGAAAGAGTAGATCACTAGACGTTGGAGGAGCACAATACTGTGTAACACTGGAGTTTTTTTTAGAAATACATCCTCATACATCTTTTTTCAAAATGCTTTTATTAGGATATTTATTTTATATTACGATCAAGTTGATAAACCGTCACGTACTCATATATTAAAGTGAAGTGTGATGGTGGTGCTCGGAGGTCTCTGGAGACGTTAACGCCACCATTTGTTAGTCTTGTATGGTGAAAACGTCATCACAACTCCAAGCGACTTAGTGGAAATAGTATTTCAATAAATTAATTTCAGAGGGTTTGACTTTGCTTATCGAGATCGAAACATTCGATGTCTGAGTCACAGCCCATGCGACCCTCTGTTAAATACGATATTCATTTTTAATTTTTTAACGAATCCCCTCCCCGATCGGGTCACGTTTACTGTGTATGTAATAATGTACAAAAGTAATGTAATAAAGAAAATAATGCCCCCCCCCCCCTCCTATTGCAACATTTTGTCAATTAATAGTATTAGCTCGGAGCATCAACACACGTTTGATTGAAATAATTCAAATCAAAGTTCCAAATGAATAAAGATAATGAAGGTTCTGTTTGATATTCGAGAACAAGAATTTGTCAAGTCAAAAATAGATTTCTAATATTTGATCCTGATTAGATGTATTTATTGATCCTTGTTTTTAAAACTACAGATGGTTCACTCAATTCTGAAGTAAACAAAAAATAATCCTATACACGATTACTTGGTTCCCATGATACTGCCTATAACCTATAATACTCATTTATCAAAACAAATATTAATTAATCCGTCCTTCTGATTACATTTTGTTCCTTGACTCAAACTAAGCAAACCCCGATTACAGTTCTTAATTCTTCACTTGAAACGATTTAGCCAACATGATACAATATGAAATTTGATTAATCATACATGTATAAAGCTTATTGTTATCAAAACCCATAAATGCTCACAATATAAATATAGTTTATTGATGGCCAATAACAGATATCAGAGGCGTAGCCAGCTTTCAGTCAGGAGGGAGTGCGATTGCCAAAAATATTTCGGTTTTCAGTCGGGGGGTGCGATTGTGACATAAACAGGGGGTGCGATTATGACATAAACAAGCCAAAAATTATTTTTATATTTAATTTTACAAAAACTGGATGCAAGTTCCTTCCAAAGTGAGCTAGAAGCTTCAAATAAAAAGCATTTAAAAGCTCGTTGAATCCTCTTTCTAAGGGTTTGATTTTTATTGGTTTTCGCAACCCCCCCCCCCCCGTCCTCCTTGGCTACGCCTATGGATATTTAGAAAGTTTCAAATAAATAACTCAGCAACCAACCACGCAAGTAACCAACCA